ATGAACAGTTAAAATGGAATATGACGATTGTTTCTTAATAAATTTGTGATCAATGTTTCAATGTTTGGTAATTGATGTATTCTTTCACTTATAACAAAAATACTATTTTCTATCTTTAAATATTAGTAAAATAACCTCATCATAAATAAAAAAATTTTCACTCATACCTTATCCTTCATTCCACCAGTTTTCGGATCTGGTTGAGGAGTCTGAGCAAACACTGTCATAATTTCTGCAATTCCTCCATTACTGATCCAAATTTTAGAGCCATTTAAAATATAATGTTTGCCATCTTCAGATTTAACAGCTCTAGATCTATAGAAGACATCAATACATATGTTTCAATATCATATATTAGTTTCACTTATTGTTGTTAATATCTATTTGTACAAAAAAGTCTTGAAAATTAATGATGCAATATAGTTTCCAATGAAAAAATTCTTCATTAAACTTGTATTAAAATAAGAAACGCAATACAAATATTAAACTAAAAGCAAATATTATTTACCTAATAGAATTAGCATCAGATCCTGATGAAGGTTCAGTTAAACAAAATGCAGCCACATTATGGCCAGTTGAAACCAAGGGCAAGTACTTTTTCTTTTGTTCAGGTGTTCCATACAGCAAAATGCCCTTTAAAAATGAAATGAATATAAAAAAGCATATTGAAACTCAATACGGTATAGTTAACCACATTTTACCTTAAAACCTATACTTTGATGTGCACCTAAGGTGATTCCCAAACCCAAGTCATTTGAACCTATAATTTCAGTCATTCTAGCATATTGTGTGTTGCTAAGCCCAAGACCACCATATTCAGTTGGTACTTGGAGACCAAAAGCGCCCAATTCCCACAAGCCATTCATTGTCTCTTCATCAATACTTGAAGTTTCATCATTTTTAGCTGGATTATTGACCTCCTAAAGTACACAAACTTTTTAAAATTGATATGATTTAATTAAAATAACAGAAATATATAGTGTGAAAGTTTATAATGAGCTGAATTAAAACACACATTATAAATATTTATATATTCTTTTAATATAGTGACTCATTGTCAGTGAAAGAGCAGATAATGAAATACACGTAAACTTGCTAACTTGTAAATAATAGTAATAGTATTTAACTTGCCGAACACAAATAGTAATTTCCGGTTTATTTCCTTTGTTGTTATGTAAGTATTTGCTTCAGCCACTTATTCATAATTTTATGTTTCAATTAATTTTTATGTTTTCAATTGATGATTTAATTAATTTACCTCAAAAAATTTTGAAGTTGGGTCTATCAAAGAAGAAAGCGTTTCATGCTGTTCAGCATCTAATACTTCTGGATACGGGAACATTTGAGCAGGTTGAAGCTGTCCCCGGAAAGTGTTCATTACAAAAGACATGTTTTCCTTTTTCGATTCATTTTTGTCAGATAGCCGGCAATGTGTTGTTGAAATAAACCTGTAGAAGTTTTGAGTTAAAATTAATAAGCTAATTAGATAATATAGATATTCATATGAAATTTGATTTCTAAATGATTTTTATTATTATTTTAAAAACTTGCTACAAAAAACTTCTGTAAAGAATGCTATACTTATAGGTGATAATAATAAAATGATCCTCATTATTATTCATTTATTAAAACTGTAAATATTGTAATACAGTTATTCTAATCTACTACTTAACGATTATAATAATAATTATTATTAATGATTATTTTAAATAAATTACCGCCTTAATTTTTTTTTATCATCAATCACATTTTTCAAAAAATATATTTGTGTGTCTTGAATTAATTTATTTTTGTGTTTGCACCAAACAAAAATAATTTGAACGGTATTTAATTTGACGTTTCGGAACTACTGTAATTGCCATCTTCAGACTTTTAGTGCCAAGTATACAGTACATTATGTGCATTATAAAATAAATAAGAAATAAAGAAAGAACTACGTAAAATTTAAAAACATTTAAAAGATGAGGATTGAGAATTATTAACACACTATAAATGCTAAGTCTTGCGTTGTGACCTAAATTACACAAAATATATGATGTAGAGTAAATACGCTGAAATAAACAAGAAGATACTTTCTGTTTATATATATATATATATATATATATATATATATATATATAAACGTTATATGCTATATATATATATATATATATAATATAATCTAAAATAAATTATAATATAATATAAACTAACCTAGAACTATCTAATACGGATTTTTTAATTAGGGCAACAGATCGTCCAATTCGCAGCATTTTTTTAATATTTGTTCCTCAATAACAAATCCAACACACAACAGAAATAAAATTTAGAACAATTATATTACGACTAAATCGAATCGTTGAATGTTGCACTTTGATTGGTTTCACTCCCAACGTGGGACTAGACCGTCTAGACGCAAACAAATATTTAGGTGGACTTTGTACCAGATTTCAAAGTTTCAAACGTCACTGAAGCACAGAAACGATGAAACGATAATATTGTATCGTTGTAGACTGCATCTGCGGTTATCAGTGGTCCTAGACATGAGGCCCACGGACAAATTTTTATCATTTTTCAACACGTTATATGCTTCGATGATTTCAAAAACTAGTGGGGCGCATGGCATCGTGCCTTGAGGAAAATTGCTGGAACTTCCCGTACCAAAAATTATTATTTTGTTAAAAACGATTAACATTTTTGAAAAAAAATTACTTCGAAAAAATTATACTTCGAAAAAATTAGATTTTTGAGAAACAATAAATTTGATATAAAATTACTTTAAAATTTTTTTTTTTTTAAATGTTTTCTTTATTTTGACATATTTTGGAAATTCTGAACTCTTTTTTGAAGCAATCGTACTACTTTAACTGCATAGAGACGCAATATCGAAGCGAGCAAACGCCACATCTCTGTCTAAAGGTGCGTCCACACCTAACGAACGAACGCGAACAAACATGTCGAACAAGAAAATACAAAGAAAAACGAACAGGAACACGAACAAACGCGAATAATTCCAAACAAACGCCTCAAAGCAGTGAGGGCTTGAATCTTTTTGTTCGAGGATGTACCGTGAAACGTCAGATTTATTATTTAAAGTGGCGGGAAAGAGTAAAATTATTTAAAGTTCTCAAATTCACAAAATTTGTCAATAACAGCAATATCTTATAATAAACACAACATAAACTAGCTGCACATTTTAACATCAAAAAAGAAAAATGTTTGTCTACATTCGTGGTAGCGTCCACACTACACATACGAGTTCAAACATGAACGAACAATTCCCTTTGATGTACCGACGAGTTGCGGAACATTGCTCGTCATGTTTGTTTATGTTCGTTCGTGATCGTTGTGGCGTCCACACTATGCTGTTGCCGTTCGTTCTGGTACGTTCATTTATGTTCGTTCGTGTTCGTTCGTTAGGTGTGGACGCACCTTAATAGACAAACGATGTTAAGAAACCCATAGAAATGTAAACAAAATTGATACATATTATTAAAATCTCCATAAAATATCTGAGAATTTAATGTGCATATGTCTAATGATCATTTTTGACCTCAAAATGGCATTTTTTTACTTTTTTTACTAAATCTCCAAAACCGCTAGACCTACCTTCCCAAAAAAGTTAATCAGTTCTTCGTCTTGTCAATACAAGTAAAATGTTTTTTGAATTATTAAAATCAGACGCTCTGTTCTCTTAAAAACTGAGTTACCGTTTTTGGCACTTTTTGCTCTGTATCTTCGAAACGTCTAGACCTGCCTGTGCCAAAAACTAATCAGCACATCTTCTTATTAATAGGAATCGAATGTTTCTTGAATAACGTCGAAATCGTCGACGAAAATTTGTATCCGCACACACACACACATACACATACATCCATTTTTTTTTAAGATATGCCAAAATAAAAAAAATCATTTTCGATTTTTTTGCGATTACTATAAAACTTGTCCTACGGGAAATTAATAATTGAAAAAAAAAGTAGTTGCGCACAGTATTTGATTTGAAAGTTATTTGGCTCTAGAAAGGTTTCAAAATGGGCACCTGTGACTTAAAATGTTGTAAGAGTAACCTCAGAGAAAGCAGGGTATACAAACGTGTATGCACATTATCTTCTTTTATCTATGAGTATATGCCTAGACATGGTGTATATGCACATAAACATGAATATTCTAGTTCTATAAAAATTGGTTATATTATACTAAACATGTCTACTTAGAGTAATTATAAGCATTTTTATTTTGTGTAGAAATGTGTTGCGGTTAATTTTTAAAACTAAAATTTATAAATGTAACATATTTTTCATTTTCTTACAAAAATCATTACTTTTGTTTGATAAATATTCAATTCTCTCTAAAAATGTATTTTTACATTGTATAACTAAATGTATAATTAATGCATACATTGAAAAAAAAAACTTGCATTAAACATATGAACTTTTTGTAAACATGACAAAAATTGAAAAATAGCACAATTTTTTTATTATTTTTTTTTTTTATTTTATTTTCATTCTGCAATCTATAAAAATAATTATATTTAGCAGAGAATGCTGACAAGTGTTTACAATTGGTTGTTTACAAATTAGTACATACGCCCAGTGGTATATCTATAGATTATGTATAGATTAACTATAGTATACTATAGTTAATATATAAAAAGAAAAAACTAAAGACAAATATAGAGAGAAAATATATATATATATATATATATATATATATAAAATGAACTATAATAAATCTCGAGGTATTTTCCTTTTGAGCCTGGTCGGCTGGCCTTCCTGGTATAAGAAAAATAGCACAAATGAACTGAAAACTAAAAAAATCAAAAGTGATATGGGAATATTAAAAAAAATTACCAATTTAAAATCATAAATGCATATAACAATTGTTGATAAAATAACTGAATGATAATAGTTCCATATATAATGTTACCATCAAAAATGTTGTGTACGTATGAAGAACGACGTGAGTGAAAATGGAACTAGACTAACATCGTTTGGATCGTTTGTATTTATTTTCATCGGTTATAGTCAAATGTCAAATTATTATTATCGTTATCAAATTTTTGCTTTTGACCATGTCTTACGAAGTGCATGTGCTCTCGAATGGATATTCCGTCGATGAACAAAATCATATGCTAGCAAATTGTACTTGCACGTTAATTTTGGGACCCATAAATATAATCGTCGATACGATGACATCTTGGGATAAGGAGGTGATTTTAAACGGTGAATTGCTGAGACGATTGAAATTCATAGAACTAGAAATTATTAACCATTAATTTCAGGATTGGCTAAACACAAACTTACGCCAAGTGATATCAATTATGTTATTTGCACACACGGCCATTCAGATCATATAGGAAATAATAATCTGTTTTTAGAATCGAAATTGATAGTTGGTTTTTGTGTATCATTTAAGAACAAATATGAATATTTTCCATTTAAAGAAGGTGAGACAATTGTAATTATTAACTTGTTTATACCTCAAGAAGCTCATACAAATTGACTATTTATAAACATATAAAAGCAATTGAAATAAAATACATAAGCCGTTCTAATTATAAAATTCAAATGCATTGTTTACATTAATTACTCTATACTATCACTGCATTATTAATTAATAAATTACCAACGAATAGTTAGCATACATTACGAGTAGTAATTGTGAGAACAAAATATTTAGTATTTGTTAATTTATTTAAAATTAGGAAAAGAATTCATAATCAACGATAACATAAAAGTTATACCCACTCCTGGTCATACTCTCCAAGATGTAACAGTAATAGTCACTACAGATGATGATGTGATAGCAATAACAGGTATAAAATTTAACAAGAAAACTAAAACAAAATAAAACACAATATATAATTAGTTTCATATATATTAGGAGATTTATTTGAAAAAGAGGAAGATATAGAAAATCCAAGTTTATGGTTATCATCTGGCAGTGATGACCCAAAACTACAAAAATATCATAGAAGACAAATTATTGATATGAGTACCTACATAATTCCTGGACATGGTCCAAAATTCAAAGTTACAGATAAGCAAAGAGCAATAATTGACCTCTCCTCCGATGCTTGAAAGAACCACTAACTTTTCTAAAATGTAAATAATGAGGCAATTCTGCCGTTACAGAGCTCACAAATAGCGTTGTCATGGCAAAGCCATTTTATTCTTGTTCCGTTGTTGTGAAACTATCAAAATGTCCACAAGGGAGAAAGTTATAATAACTGCATCATCGAAGATTCTGTTATCATAACATTTATCCTTGTTTGTTTATACTTAAAATACGCCAAATCGCACAGCAAATAGACATTTTCATAATTTTTACTACTAAAACAAGCATAAGAGAGTGTTGCCATGACAACTCTATTTTATGAGTTCTGTTATGGCAGAATTGCCCCAAAAGCACTGCAATAAAATAGAGTAAGGTCATATAGAACATGAATATATGTCTTTTGACTTACTTAAATTTATTTTCTAAATAATATAAATTGATTTGTTACAAAGAGTAATTTTAAATTAAAACAATTTCGAATTATATATAAATTTACAATAAAATAGATCTGAGAAATAACTTTTTTTCAGTATGATATTACATTTCCTATCTTGAAATAATCACAGCCATATAATTAAAAAAAAACATTGACCAAAAAACATTTAACACAAATACTATACACACAAAACTAAGGTGAGCTTTCTTCTACATTAAAAACAGCACACTGCCAAAATAAATAAATTTAATTATGTATAATATTTAAATAAATCATTTTTGTTAAGAGTAAAATATATTTTTTAATGCTATTAATTAAAAACGTTATTTTGAAATATTCTTTGAGCTAAAAGTTACTTTTATGTAAGATATAGATCTCATATTTTTTTAATTTCCACATGTCAGCATTGATTATATACATTATGATGCTATTTAAAAACAATTACATATTTATAACTTGATTTAATTTAGAATAAATGACACACTTAAGTACTTGAATTATACAAGTACATATAAGCATATAGTATTAAGGTGACCATATTTTTTTTTAAGTCAAAACTGGGACAACAATTTTTAGTTGTACTAATCCGGAACGGAAGACCCCCTCCCCAATGCTAAATGACTTAAATATGATTTAACATAAATACTATGAGGATATAATGAAAATCATTTTTTTTATTAACTAAATATTTTTTTTTATCAGAATTACTTACTTTTTAGAGGACTTCATTATTCTTATATGCTATGTTTTATCTATTTTTTTTATCTATAACTTTTCTTTGCTTTCAAGTCTTCTATAAAATTCTGTGTAATTTTCTTCATGATTAACTTGAAATTAGTACAAAAATTATCAATCATTTTTGCTAACATTCATAAAATCAAACTTCAAAATTATTAATATTGAGATTTTAAGCCGCTTTTGGAATATTGCATCCGCACCCGGCAATATTCTCATTCAGAACGTATGTTGTATATATTATCTTCAGATATTTGATGGGCAGTTGTAATTTCGTAAAAAATTGCAAAACCTATACTTTTTGAAAACTCGGGACAATCTGGGTCAAAAGATCTGAATCTAGGACAAATATTGCTTTTAGAGAAACCCGGGACTGTCCAGGCCAAACCGGGCCGTATAGTCACCCTAAAAAAACTATATAAAAACATTAAATATGAATAATGTTAGAGTACTGTAACTTGTATGCTCAATAATGTTAAACAAAAAATGTGCATAAAATATTGTTACTTCAATAGTGATAATTAGTTAATTTTAGATAGCATCAATTTACTGAATATAATTGAAGCTAACATAATTATATATATATATATATATATATATATATATATATATATATTACATGTATATGTAGGCAGCCTGAAAACCTATCGATTTGATACAACTGAGGTAGGAAACTTCACACCACCCACAAATTAATATATATATATATATATATATATATATATATATATATATATAGATTTAGATTTTTTGATCGACGGTGAGACAGATATACATATTAGGGCGGGTCGATTTAAAATTCGCTTAGGCACATATGATTTTCGGGTACTAGGGATCAAAATAAGATACTTTCCTAAAGACACAATATGACAAACCATGGGCATGGGTAGATCGGCCTTCCAAAGTTAGTGGGGGTCGGTGCGCCTATGCGACTTTTTTTTACCCATATAAATCAACCAGCTCTAATTATATATTATATATATATATATATATATATATATATATATATATATATATATATATATATATGTATATATCTGTTAACAATTTTTTTTTGTTTTATATATATATATATATATATATATATATATATATGATAAAACAAAAAAAACTTGTTAACAGACATCCATCCAGATATAAAATAGAAAGGAAACTAAGATATGTTTCAAAATAAATTTAATAGATTTATATGTTTCGAGTCTCAATTTGACTCTTCCTCAGTGAAAACAAAACATATGGAATATGGATAATAAAATTGAATTCATATTCCAACCTTCGAGATGTTATGGTTGAATTTATTATGTTCATTTTATTTCTTTTTGGAACATACTTGTTTTTTTTGTAAAATAATAATTTCTTTACCATATTTTTTCTTTCTGTTTTGTGTTATGTATTAACTGTTTGTGTGTTATGTTTCCACTGAGAAAGAGTCAAATTAGGACTCGAAACATATGGATCTATTAAATTTATTCTGTAACATATCTTAGTTTTTTCTTTTTTTTTCAAATCTGGATGGATGCCTGTTAACAAGTTTTCGGTCTTATCAACATATTTGTCACCATCTGTAAAATTAGTACATTAAATATATATATATATATATATATATATATATATATATATATATAATTTGATCTAAGATTATAGATCTTATATTTGATATAAGATTTCAAAAGTTTTAGTAATTCATTTACAAAACTTAATTAAATTACATTTTAGTACAGCTATAAAATTACAATTTTTTTCCGTTATGACCAGGCAGACGTACACATGTTGAAACATATCCTGAATTTATTGTGAGGCCCATATCTCCAGATAGAGTATCCAACTGAGGCATATGAATTGTTAACATCGTGATTAAATGATCTTAATTCTAAACTTAATTTCAAACAATGATTATTATCTTAAATTGTACATTTTCTAATATTATTAAAGAGGTCAATATGGGCTGACTGTTTAATAGCATTGCATCAATGAGAATCATTCAAAAATTAGTATAAAACAAATGAAATCATTTTATAATTTCCTGGCATTGCAATTTTGGATGTTTAGTGCTATAACATAAGCCAATTAATTACACAACATTTACCAGTCATAGTCAATAGCCATCTGATGCTCTAAATTATTAAAAAAATAAACAGTTAATTATTCTAGTAATATAAATAAAAAAAAGTAATATTATGCAGTAATTTATAAACTTAATAATATTTGGTTCATTTGGGTAATACTTAATGTGCTCCAAAATAACAGTTTTTATAATTCTATTCAAGGAAAAATAGTAATAATAATACCAACAAGAGGAAAAGATACATGCCCAATTAAAAAAGTAATACTGATCACTAATTTTTTGTTTGTTTAAATATTCAGTATCCATTTGATGATACATATACAAAATTCATTATTATTGTGATTTTGAAGGCATAGTTATTAGTCATTAAATTAATTAGTCATATCTAGCTATCACAAATAATTTAAAATTATCTTTTATATCAATATATTTATAGAGAAATATTCACAAGCTTACATTATACTAACAAAAATGTGTTAATGCCCTTTTATCATTCTGATACATAACGTCAACACTCCATCAATAATGTTACTTTTCAATGCATAAGCATGAATACAAATTTAAAAACTACTATATGGCTATGAATCAATAAAAAGCTAACAATCATAGCAGGACACGTTTTATTTTAATTTCAGAGCTCTGAAAAAAAAAAATTAAAATAAAAACCAATATTAAAAAGCAACATTTTTTAAATAAAAGGCTAAATCATAATAACTTGTAAACACAAAATTATGGCACGCATGAGTTTATTTAACAGTAAGACCAGCATGTTATTAAATAAAGATTATGTAACTCATTTACAAGAAAGAAGTCAAACAAATTGATGCTTTTGATATTTTTGCTGCCAAAAATTAAACAAAAAGTTTAAACATGCTTGCATCATGATAAAAAAATGTTTATTTAACATAAATTTAGTCTGATTCTAGTTATTGTTTATAAGAAACAAAAAACGGTATAGTCATTATCATATCATTTATAAAACAATTAGATTATATTAGGATTACAATTTAACCAACTCCATCCCAATATCTGAGTAACATAAAAAATATATTTAAATGAAATTAAAACATAAATACAGCATACTTAATACAAACTACCTGTTGGATAGATCCCAATTATAATACTCAGTTCAATGGACGATTATTTTATTTTCATATTGTCTTACATAAAATTGTGAGTGACAACACTCAGTTGTCCTATTGTTTCATTGACTTGTTGTGAAATCGGCTTTAAACGTAAATCGATTAAATCCATATTTTTTAAAAGGAGGCATGCAATGAAAGGAATATTATGCAAATTAGGTACAATAATCAACAAAAATTAACTCGCCCACATTAATACTGTAACATATCATTCTGAGTTTGAATTGTATGCAATGTGCCCTTTGTGAAAAAATAGATCAGAAAAAAAAGATAACAGTAGGAATGAAAAATATGAATTTTACTGATATTATGATATTACCAAGAAAGTGAATTACGTAAAAACAAATTTTTTGTATTAGCATTAACATATATAATGTTATATATTCATATATATATATATATATATATATATATATATATATATATATTTGGAAATATGAACAAACAACACTCTTTTTTGCACTAATGTATTAAATAATAATTTTCACAAACGTTTCGAGACTAGGTTTGTCTCATCATCAGTGTGTTATAATTTAATATTTAAAACATGGAAACCTAAATTAGCATATCCATTACAAGTCGCTCGATATACTGTCTTCTGCCATACCAACGATCGTCGAAGTCCGAATTCTCTAACCACTTGGCAAACATGTCAAACTTTAGAAAAAAGATTAAGGCAACATGAATTACAAAGTAAACAAAGTAAAAATAATACCATAAAACAAACAAGTACACTCGTAGACCACGCTATCTCGAACAATCATGGTTTCGATTTCAATAATCCGCACATATTATATTATGAAAAAGATTTATTTAAAAGAAGTACAGTAAACCCTCGCTTTACGCGGCAAGTGCGTACCGTGCAGTATAGGAACCGTGCTATAAGAAACTCGTATTTAACATACAATTCAGGCTAATTCGTAGTGCGTTCTATGGAATCTTACATAGTGCAGTATGGAAACCGTGCTATGAGAGACTCAGAGTTGGTACAAATCGCACCATTTTTATCGCGTTGTATGGAGACCAAGAAATACAACTTGAAGTAGGAGAAATACGGACGAAATGACATGTAGGACATTGACACCTTATTCAAAAATTGGCGCGACGCAGTAGTCAGCTCAAACGTGTTCTTAGGCGACTATTGTACAATCAGGCATGTCTAAAAGATAAAAGTCGATAACAAAATTTACATCAATACCCTTTTGCACAACGAACTTATGGGCTGTTGACCAAATACCGTGTAATAAGAAGTCCGTGTAGTCGGAGGGATGTCGGATTTTTGCTCCGTGTAGTATGGGAACCGTGTACCCAGAGTGCCGTGTAAAGCGAGGGCCTACTGTATTGCAGAATCGATGTTATTAGCTCATACATATAATACAGTAAATTTACGGACAGATACCAATATATTACATGATACATATCTAAATCTTATTAATTAATACTTTGTAGTTTTTTATGTACTTATGTATGTATATGTATATATGTGTATGTTTATGAGTATAAGTGTATGTGTAATATGGTTGTATGCATGTGAGTATATGTGGGTGTTTTTTATATATATGTAGGTGTGTGTGTATGTATGTATGTATGTCTGTATGTATGTATGTATGTATGTATGTATGTATATATATATATATATATATATATATATATATATATATTGAATGGTAGAGTCTTGGATTTGTGTATATTTTGTAGAGTTTCGAACAAAAATCCAAAAATAATACAAAATAAAAAACAAGAAAAGTTTTTAAAAAAACAATTTCTTTATTTAATTATTTGTTTATTGTCGACGTTTCGGAACTAGGTACGTTCCATCTTCAGGACATCTGTCAAGAAACATGATCTTGATGAGATTTTTGCAAACAATATGTTTAGGAAAAGAAAATAGATTTTTCTTAAATAATGAATTAAATTGTAAAAAATATAATAATGTACAGAAATATGATAATATGTTCAAAATAAAAATGATAAAAATAAATGAGTGGATTATCAAAACAGGATATTAAACATAATTGAAAATTTTTTTGAAAGTTATGGAAATTTTTTAAGAAAAGGTTAATGACAAAGTTGAATTAATTACCTGTACGTTTGAATATTTGTTAGCACTTTTTCACTAAACAAGCTTTTTTTTAACAAAAATGATTTTGTGAGTTAATTTTCCGCCGAATAATTAGATTTTGTAAATCAAAATTACTAAAAAATTTGTCTTTTTTAAAATTATTATTTGAAAACACAAATAATATTGTTCTCTGGATGTTGTTCGATTGGCTTTCGAAAATTAACTAAATGAAACTGGTGTGCCCTTTGTAACACGTGTAAACACTTGAACGAGAGATGTGAGATTGTATGTGTGTGTTTTTATATGTCAGGGTGTGAATACTTAAATTGTTGATCTTAAAAGGAAGTCGATATTAATTGTTTGTCAAAAAGTGTAAAAAATTTAAATATGAATCATGTAATAGGTTGTGATCTGATCTAATGTTGACACTGTTAGAAACATTTATGAGGATGAGACAACTCTCCGCGAATAACCTTCTAAAGATGCAACTTTCGTGATATAAAATCTTTGGAGTGAAATTAAATGAATGGGCGTTTTCTATAGAGTGTTGTACTAGGGTACTTTTGAAATTTTTTTGTTTATGGTGGACCACACTTAGTTCATGTTGTCTCATTCTCTTGTGTACATATTGGGAGGTTTGTCCAATATATTGAAAAGCACAGTCATTACAAGAAACAGAATATACTACATTAGTATTGAGATTGGATGGGGTGGGGGATTTAATGTTCGTAAAGAATTGGTTGAAGGAGTGTAAGGATGAGCCTGATACTAAAATGTTTTCTTCTAACAAAATTTTGGCAAAATAATAATATAAATCTTCAACGTATGGTATGCTGCAGTAAATAAGATTGGTGTTTTTGATGTTAGTACTGGTATTGGGAGAAAACACAAATTCTTAAAAACACAAATTAATTCTCCCAATACCAAAACACAAATTCTTAAAAACACAAATTAATTTTCCAAATACCAAAACAAATATTCAAACATACAGGTAATTAATTCAACTTTGTCATTAACCTTTTCTTAAAAAATTTCCATAACTTTCAAAAAAATTTTCTATTATGTTTAATATCCTGTTTTGATAATCCACTCATTTATTTTTATCATTTTTATTTTGAACATATTATCATATTTCTGTACATTATTATATTTTTTACAATTTAATTCATTATTTAAGAAAAATCTATTTTCTTTTCCTAAACATATTGTTTGCAAAAATCTCATCAAGATCATGTTTCTTGACAGATGTCCTGAAGATGGAACGTACCTAGTTCCGAAACGTCGACAATAAACAAATAATTAAATAAAGAAATTGTTTTTTTAAAAACTTTTCTTGTTTTTTATTTTGTATTATTTTTGGATTTTTGTTCGAAACTCTACAAAATATATATATATATATATATATATATATATATATATATATTAATGGGTAGTGCTGCCCTAGGGCTGAGTTAAACTCGAACTCGATTCAGGGAAGAGTAGTGTGAGAGGTTTCCCATTGCCATTTCACACCGCAGTGCCCAAGGTTTCTGAACGTTTTGGCATACTTCAGAAAAAATGGATGTGTTGTGTGTGTGTGTGTGTGTGTGTGTGTGTATGTATGTATGGATACAAATTTCCAGTCACGTTTTCGGGCGCACGAATCAACCGATTTGAATGATTCAAAAAATATTCGATTCCTATTTATAGGGAAAAGAGCTAATTAGTTTTTGGCGAAGGCAGGTCCAGCCGTTTCGGAGATACGGAGCAACGAGTGCAGAAAACAGAAATCGACTTTTTGAGAGAACGATTTGAATGATCTAAAAAACATTCAATTAGTAATGATTGGGAGAAGTGTTTATTAGTTTTTGGCAAAGGCAGGCCCAGCCATTTCAAAGATACGGAGATAAATATGTAAAAAATGGCAGTTTTTGAGAGAACTAAGCGTCCGATTTAAATGATTCAAAGAACTTTCTGCTTGTCTTAAGAAAATAATTGATTTTGGAAAAAAAAATTGTATAATTTTTTTTTTGTGTATATCGAAAATAATTACAATAATGTTACAATATTTATAATAATCTATTTGAAAACATTCAGTATTCCTCGAACATTTTGTTACGGTGCGGGAACTTCCAGCAATTTTCAATTGAAAATGGAAATCGCGCTGCCCGATGTCAGATTGCCATAGCGGGGATTCGAACGCGCGACCCTGTCCATACAAAGCCAACGCGTTAACGATCTTCGCCACGACGAATCCATATATATATATATATATATATATATATATATATATATATATTTCCATATATACATAATAGGTTGTCAAATATCTCCCTTCCGCCTTTTTGTATTATAAACCAAGAGCAAAAAAGCGGAAGGGAGATATTTGACAACCTAATATGTGTGTGAATATATGTGTATGTATATATGTGTGTATTTATATATGTATGTGTATGTTGTATATGTTGTATGTGATGTTTAGTACTTTGGGTATACATTTGTATATATGAGTATGTATATATATGTACATATATTTTTAATTATAACAATTTAAAACAAATTTTATAAACAAACCGTCTTATTCATAGAATATTTTTTCTCCTAACGACATCTATTTTTCAACTGGACCCTAATCCTTCCTTTCCTATCTGATCACGTGACTATTCAATTTCAAGTGGTATTCAAATGGTTAGAGAATTCGGACTTCGACGATAGTTGGTGTGGCAGAAGACAGTATTATATCGAGCGACTTGTAATGGATAACACATAATGCTAATTTAGGTTTCCATATCTTGAATTTTAAATTATAACACACTGATGATGAGACAAACCTAGTCTCGAAACGTTTGTGAAAATTATTATTTAATAAATTAGTGCAAAAAAGAGTGTTGTATGTTCATATTTCCAAATTAATATCTATTATCCACTCAGAATACATTTGTTCTATATATATATATATATAGGGCCGGTCCTGGGGTCCTTAGCGCCCGCATGCAACTTTTTTTCTAGCGTCCCCCCCCCCTATTAATTTTAACTGTTTTAACAGTTTATCATTAAAATTATATAAATATTTACATATTATTTTTAAATTAGTAATTATCAAATATTTTTAAATTTTCAATTATTTTTAACGCATGTACAATATTAATATTTGGATTTTGCAACATTTTACTTAATTTATTATGCGATTTATTCCATTGAGCAAATCATGCCAGTAAAGCTAAAAAAACTAGCTTTTCATTTTCAATTATAACACTCGTATTTCATGTTGCATTTTTAAAATTTTTATTTAATTTAATTTTTCATTATTCACAATATCAAAAATTGCGTCGTAAAATTCTCCTTATTGATATCGTAAGACCCGAATTGCATTCATCCTTGCTTTTCCGTCATATTCAGAGTATCAGATTGTTTGAATTATGATTATGATAATTTTTTAACGCATTTTAGAGGTATTGTCCAAAAATCCGTAAAAAATGGAAAAAAGAAAATACACATTACGTGAACTATATTAAAAAAAAACTAATTATATTTGATATGTATTATTTCTGCATAGTTAATAATTATTAAATTTAGAGTATCGGCACCATTAGGTACAAGAAAAATCCTTAAGATTTTCGTTCCAAAGTAAACTTTCTTTCATTTTTTAAATTTGTTCCATTTCCATAACCCTAACCACGCATGTCTTCAACATTCATCGGATGAGGAACATTTGGAACAAAAACAAAAGTTACAATTCAATTTTTCGGAATAAACATGCCATTTTCTAAGCCCTGACTCCCCATTTTTTTCCCCCGATTATAATTTGTTTATATTTTTTTTAAAGTTCCGTTTCAACTAAATCAGCTCGCAATTTTTCGTCAATAATGCCCAATAATTAATCTCCCGCAGATTTGCGTTCACGGGATTGAACACTAGATAATTTCTTTTTCGATTCCACAGTAACTTCGAACAAAGAAAATATTGAATAAGTAGATTTAGCAATAAACAGAGCTGTTATTTCCTAATTTGCAGAGTTATTAATCGGTTAATTGGTTCTACTGATATCACATTGCAAAATAAATATGCTTTTTGAGTTTCCGTATCTCTAGTTAAGTTAGATTGTTTATTATAATTTATTAATATATTATAAATTTAATTTCTAAAACTCGTTTTGGCGCCCCCTAAGGCGTGCGCCCGCATTTTTTGCATGCATCGCATGCAAGGCAGGACCGTCCCTGTATATATACATATATATATATATATATATATATATATATATACACCAATCCCACGTTATACACGTTTTCGATCTTACACGGTTTTTGAAAATATTTTTTTTAAAGAAACTTATTAATTTTGCATTTACACGAAATTATAAACACTGCTTTAACATTTTAATTGCTTCACTGACAAAATACAACACTACAAAATGTATGTTACAGTTACGAATTTTTAGTAGTGTATGTCTACGATGGAAATATGTAGATGAGATGGGAACTTAATGTTTTATGATTCAAACTAAATTTCATATGAGTATAAGCTAGTTTGTTTAAAATATCGAAACAAAGAGCATCATTGTTCTTAAACTTTGTTTTTAATTAGTATTTATATATAATTGATAGTGTAAATTTATTCAAGGTGAGCAAATAATAGAATCATTTTTACAAAATCTTCCATTTATTATATGAAAAAAATAATAATTCGGCAATGATAAAAGATGAAAATAAAAAACTAAAAAGTAAAAGAAAGGTTATATCTGTAAAAACCAATTTTAATTTTTATCTATAAAGAAAATGCAATATTGAAAATATTTTTTTTATTTGTTTAATTATTGAAATAAATTAATTTTCTTATAGTATATTAAATATGATTGATATTGAATATATTAAGATTTATTTTTCGTTCAATGTATTTGTTATTGACAACTAACAAAAAGGTTTATCATATTGATTTTCGTTTAACACGGTTTTTCCATGTAAAAGTAAATTTTTCGAGTTACACGTTATTTCTGGAACGTATCTACTGTGTAAAACGGGGGATCGGTATAAATAAATATAATGTTTCAATAATAGTAACAATAAATCTTCATGTAATAAGGAATATAAGTTGTTTATAAGTTATTCTAGAAGTGATTTTAATAAATATTAAAAAAAAAAACAATGAATGATATCTTATAATGAAAGTGGAAGATTTAGTAAAATATATTTCCAATATTTTTTGTTTAGCACTTACCCGCTGCGCACTGGTTCTTCGATCACCATGGTCATACTGTTGAGGTCCGTCTATACAAATATCTGAATCTGAATCACCTCTTCGAGATGGACCCTCCTTCAATTTTAAATTTATTAATTATCAAATATATAAAAACTAGTAAAGCATTATAAAGTAAAACTTTTGAAAAAAATGTAGGATAACTTGTCTCCATTCACGAGTAAATTATTGTAGATAAACTCAGTGCGCTTTTGTTACAAACCAGTTAAATGCTTATTAGTTCAACAAAAAATATCATAAACATTGCACAGTTTAGAAACCCAAATTATAAACTACCCTAGAGTAAGTTATAGTAATGAAAATGAACATTTTTATATATCTTTACGTTTCAAAGGTTTCGGAACATTTTGGCATACCTTATAAGCGGATTAGAAAAAATGGTCTGTGTATGTGTGTTCATGTGTGTGTATACAGATACACATTTTCGTCGACGATTTCGGAAACACGTTTCAATCGATTTTAATCACTCAAAAAGCGTTCGATTCGCTTTAATGAGGGGGGGGGGGGGTCGTGCTGATTAGTTTCTGCCAAAGGCCGTTGCAAATATACAGTATACGGTTTTTGAGAGAAAGGAGCATATGATTTTCATGACTCAAAAAAAAACATTTTATTTGTACTGACAAAACAAACAACTGATGAAATTTTCGGAAAGGCAGGTCCAGATGTTTAAGAGGTCCAATGAAAAAGTAAATAAAAGTACCGTTTGTCGGACAAAAAATGATCATTAGACATATGCACATAAAATTATCAGATATTGTATGGAGATTTTAATAATGTGTATCAATTTTATTTACATTTCTATGGTTTATATGATAAGATTGCAAAGAAAGTCAAAAAAAAAATTCAAATTTTTCAAAAAGTCTTTTTTTCAAAAATTTCAAAATCTATATTTTTCTATTAGTTTTAATTTTGGGTACGGAAAATTTTAGCAATTTGCCTTAAGTCACAATGCCATGCGCTACTAGTTTTCTTTTCATAAGTATATTAATATTATATGAACGATATTAGTAGAAGCCTAAAAATATTTGACATAATTTACTCAGGCTATTTTGGGAACAATCGTTCAGTATGTAGTTGTATTACTTTTTCATATATCAGCATTGTTTAAAATATGAATCAAGTTATCTCACTCAAAAATGTTTAGTTATTTGCTCAATTAGCACAATGCAAAAGTATCAATTACCTGTGTCATCTGTTCAGTAGTTGTCAAAAGCCTGGCGATCGGATTACAGCAAACCGGGAGAGTATCCAATAGAGTGGGTCGAGAATGAGTTAATAGTGGTTTCATATATTTGCTGTCCAGATTTCCCCAGACTCTAGCAAGAACTGCCTTTTCATTTTGTTTTTGTTCTGAGGGACTGTTCTGAAGATCACTCAAATCCTGAATTAAAAAAAAATATATATATATAAGTTAATCTATGACCATGAACCTCTGTAAGTTTATGCATACATAAGATTATGAGATCCAAGGCAAGTAAATAAAAATAAAGTTATTAAAAAAAGTTTGATTTTGAAAGTAACTTAATAACTATGTTTTAATGTTAAAGGAAGGTTCAACATATACAATCAAATAACGCCTTTGACATAAGTGAAATTTGCTTTCCATAGGCAAATGTATACAGTAGGCATGAATGCAAGCTTGAAGAGAGTATGTGCGATACATGAAATTAATCATGTTTACAATTAAGTTATCCTACAATGGTATCTATAGCATGAGCTACTTTAAAACTCATAGAACTGATTTAGTAATTCTTTAATAATTATATATGCAATTATATCTTCCATAAATCTCAAATATTATTACAATCAATGCAAAATATGTAATAGTCTCTGAGTATACGTTTTAATTTAACAAGATACTGGCTTTGTGTAAGGAAACCAGGAATTATATTTAATCATAAACGATCTTAAGGCTCGATTAGATTTTGATATCTATCACAAACAATATTTTTGCAACAAATCCGAAAAACGATAAAAATACCATTGTGTTGTCGGTATTTAAGGATATTGAAAACTACCAAAAAGTTATAAATCTATTATATATAAATGAGATTGCATGTATATTTCTATATCTAATAAACTTATAAAAAAAAAAACAATTACCAAAGAACTTCTTCTTCTATTGACTTGCAATTCATTGAGATTCAAACCCATGTCCACAGACTGTAAACAATACATTGATTTTAATATATTTTCAACCCTCTTACTAAAACGAAGTATATACAAGCCTCTACATTTTAACAATTCATCAATATTACAAAATTAAAATTAACGGGATTCTAAAAACACGTGCATTAGCCACACAAACATAGCTTTCTATAATTAATGACCTACCCCAGTAGTATTTTCCATTGAGTTGTAGACCTGCATTTAATTATTAATAGAAAGAAATTAGAAAAAGAAATAGATTTTAATGAAAGAAGTAAATTATAAATGCTTACACTTCTTACTCCTTGAAATGACAATGCTTCTGTTTCATCATCAACTCCAACACTGAAAATATGATTATTAATAGATTAAACATTAGATCATTTTACATAAAAATTTAAGATTGTTTATAAAAACTTAATCTAAATTGCAAAACTTACGGAATTTTGAACCATGTTAATAAGTTATTTGTAGCCCCTCCTTGAATTATTACTGTAGCTATCACTATAAGAGAAGTTGTAGTCAACATGGCTTGTCGAGCATCAGAAACAGTATTTCTTATAGCCAAAGCAAAAGACATTGCCCCCCGTAGACCTACAATGAAAAATTATTTATATAAATTAATATATATAAAGAATTAAATAAATTCATGTGCGTAAATAATTTAACTAAGATTTACCAGCAAAAAACAGCATATGTTGATAGTTAAAAGAGATTTTTGGCTGTCTTCCCAAATTAAGCAAGAAAGATAGAGGATATATATTTGCAGCTCGCCCTATCATTGCACAAAGCTAAATTCAAATAGGTATATACACTTTCTTTATATAATTTCATTAAATTTTAGTTTTGGAATAAGCTTAATTTTGAGCATATCTTTTAATATTTTTCACCGAAAGTTTATGAACGAAAGTTTTATGTAAGGATACAACTCCTGCCATTATAAACCATGGATCAAAATGATGTTTTGGAAATGTGAACATAGATACTCCAATATATGAAAAAATGAAATTTTCAGCCAGAAAATTTAGAAGTTCAAATATTTGTTTTGTTCTTGTTCTTGAGTCCTCAGATAAGTTATTGTAAGTGTAATGTGCTTGACATATTCCACAGAATAACACAGCAACTACACCTGTGTAAATAATTATGTAAGTGCTTCTTAAAATAGATATGTGCAATCTAATCAAATAAATTTACCAGTTAGTTCCGTAGCTTCAGCAATCAAAAATGTGCTGTATGACATTAATACAAATAAAGCTGATTCCAATAGTGGAAAATCTCTTACCCTAGTAAATTTGGTCATGTATTTAATCATTAAGGAAAATTATATTATTTTTTAAATAATTTAATAATTTAAATGTTTGTACATAAAAGGATATCAATGCTGTTACACATCCCATCATAGCTCCTATTAATAAAGATAGCATAAATATACTAAAAAAATCACCCATAGCTTTGAAAAAAGCATGAGTTTCAAATGCTCCAGATCCTTCTGAATATCGTTCACCATAATTTTGAATAGCACTGCATAGTAATATTATTTATAATATTATTATATATAATTAATTTTTAAATAATTAATTAATAATATACCTACCCACTGAGAACAATTGCAACAGCATCATTAAGCACACTTTCACCAAATATTAGTGCATATAAATTTACATCTACATGAAGATCATTAAATATAGCTAAAATTGTTAATGGATCAGTTGGTGAAATTAATGCACCAAAATATAAAGTATCTAAAAATGTAAAACTGTTGCTTAATTTTTCAGGCATCAGCTGAACACAGCCATACATCAAAGCTCCAATAATGAATGCAGATATAGTTGTTCCTATAATTGCATATGTTAAAATAGCACCTAAGTTTCGAAAAAAATACTTCTGAAAAAAAAATTACATACCACTTTATTGCAGATTATTTACTGTAATGTAATCGTTTTATGGATTATATGGCACACTCAAGAATATCAAATATTTTAAAATAAATTTCATGTAAAGCTATGAATATGGCTTAAAAAAATATAATCCCTGTAGAAAACTCCATATCATTAATAGATAGAATGTAACTTACCCGCTTCAAGCAGTATCCTGCATGAAATATTATAGGTGGCAAGATAATATTAAAAAAAATTTCTGGATCAAACGTTGCTTTCAAATCCATTTCATTTTCTTCTATATCTACAACTTCACCTCTGAATGTATATGCATATGTTTTATTTTGTGTACTCGGCACATCTTGTATATGCTGTAATATTCCTGGAAACTTGAGCCAGAGCGTGTCTGGCGGTACACTATGGTTATACTTCATTTCATTGCTGGGAGTAACAGCAAGATGTATCAATGGACTAGTTGTACCAGCATAGCGTATGACGGCTCCCACAATTAACCCTGGTGATTAATTTCGTATTAACGATTACATATATTTTTAGTTAAATGCGTCACAAGAAATATTAACCATATATTACAGCCAGACCGGTTTCGTGCAGCCAGCTAACCCTCCGATGTTTAAATAACCATATTGTCAAAACAGTTAATGTTAATAAAATAGTATATATTAATAAATTTAAACTATCTATTCGATGTGTTAAATTGGCTTTGGCATCTAATGCTATGTCGGTTTCTTCACAATTACATTGGATAAGAAAACTGCATATCAATAATAAGTTATAAATAAGTTTCTGGTTACAGAGCGTCATGTCAAAAACTGGTTAATTATAATTGTTACGAACTTATTACAAATATTGAGCTAAAATAATTGTTATTCATCACACTTGTTTGTTGACAGTGCAAATTTGTTTTGACATTTGACAGCAAGCAATGACAGTCTTATTAGAATGTAATCAGTGAAGCCAACGTAATACCATCAATAAACTTAACATGACAATAAAGTTAAACGTCAAATGTCAGATAGCGCAAATTAAATGGAACTACTAACACATTATACTGCTAATATAACTTTATTTGTTAATAATATATTTGAACGACGATCTTCTGCATGAATGTGAAAAAAAATAAAATAATACAATAAACTTTCATTTGCGCATGAGTAGACAAATTTGCAGCGGCTGTTATGAATTTGAAAAATTGATTAAAATGCGATTAGACACTTATCACTTTTAGTAAGATAAGCAGTAAATATATATATATATAAAACGTAATAATTAATTTGATGAGTTAAAGTCTGTTTTCATGGTGTATATTTTTTGTGTATAAAAAAAGTAAATATTTATAAAATGCCTGAAACTAAACAAAATGTACATCCAGATCTTCAAAAAGAGAGAGATAAATGCACATTTGACCCAATGGAATTAACCTACTTTCTAGATGGTGGCAAAGAAAAAACTTTCGAGAAGCATGCAAGAGGTAACATAATTACGTTTAGTTTTTAGCTTAATATTGATTATCTCATGTTCAAAACAGCATTCTAAAACCAATCAATGATTGCATTTTTAATATATATTTAATGAGCATGCATTTTTAATATATATAAAATACTTTATGATACAATAAATAATATTTAACATTAAGTACTTAATGTGATTTTTTTTGGTAGATTTAGTTAAACCGATTAAAATTGGGTACTGTAGTATAAACTGGAAACAAGCAATTTATATTTATATAAATATAAATAATATGAATTATAAGTACAGGAATATTTGCTGCTCTTTCTTAAAAAATAAATGCTGATGGCACAGATTATTCAAAAATGCAACTCGCTAAATTAATTATACTCGTAATTATATTGAATAATTTCAATTACGCCGCAATTTGATAATAATTTGGCTTGAATTTCAATTAATTCTTGTTGAGTAATGTATATAATAATGAAAATTCAAATTTTTTATTCATTATTTGTGTATTATTTTTAATATTTCTCAGTGAATTGTTTGTCTATTGAATAATTTGTTTAATGCTTCATGTTTTTACAATGTTATTGACAAGTATTCCTTGGACTTTGGAGCCTTTTTATAATTGCTAAATTAATTTATAGTATGAATAAATGCGCGTGTCATGATAGAACTGATTTGTATTGAAATGAGCTTAACGAAACTTGTCATAAAAAGTAATATCTGATATTGTTGTTATGATCTTTCGAACCATGTTATCAAAATCATTTGAGTGTACATTGATACTTTGACAAAGTCCTTAGTTACGTCGATTACAAGCAAAAATCCAGTCAGCGATTTTATCAACTAGATCAATGTCATGCTTTTAACAACATCTGATCGATAGTACAAATTTCTGTTACAATTTTACAAAATTGTTCAGATATCAATGTATTTGTTTTTAATTTGTTTTTCTGACTTTTTATCATTGTTGCGTATATAGTTGCGTAGCCTTAAGGTAGTGAATTTGATTTTATTTCGGCTTTCTTTCGCACCACCGGCTGCCCGCCGCTGACTTTTACATTTTAGCGCAAGAAGGGCGAGCAACCTTTTTAACCCACGGGCCAATTTGGTTTTCAAAATTTTATGGCGGGTCGCACGTAATCTTCTATATATATAAAAATAAGTCGGGTTTTCCTTTCTGACGAAATAACTCCAGAACGCACGAACCGATTTCGACAATTTTGCATCCTTTGGAAAGGTATCGGGCTCCGCAAGGTTTATAGCTAAGAAAATTAGTGGTGCATGACATCGTGCCCTAATGCAAATTGCTGGAACTTCACGCACCGTAATTAAAAATTCGAGTAATAAAAATGATCAATAACTGTTTTAAATAATTTCAAATAGATTATCTTCTATATATATAAAAATAAGTCGGGTTTTCCTTCCTGACGAAATAACTCCAGAACGCACGAACCGATTTCGACAATTTTGCATTCGTTGGAAAGGTCTCGAGCTCCGCAAGGTTTATAGCTGAGAAAATTAGTTGTGCATGGCATCGTGCCTTAATGCAAGCTGCTGGAACTTCGCGCACCGTAATTAAAAATTCGAGTAATGACATTAGTGAAAATTATCAGAATTATGCTTGGTTAAGTCAACGAGCAATTCTTGCCGCAAAGAATAATGAGGCACACGCCCTGAATTTCACCATTCAATCAAAAATTGCTGGCGATTTGGTGACATACCAATGATTCTGACTGGTCTTCCGTTAGACTTCAAACGATTGCAATTTCCAGTTCGCCTTGCGTTCGCAATAACAAGTCGCAAGGCCAATCGCTTAGTGTTTGCGGGATAAATTTCAAATAGATTATTTAGAAAATCATTGTTTTTCACATGGACAGTTATACGTTGCCTGTTCACAAGTTGGAAAACCATCCGCTTTGTTTGTGTTAACGTCAGACCAAAAAACAAAAAATGTGGTTTACCAAAGAGCACTTCAATGAAACGGATAATTTGCGGATTCACTTTCATTTACTTAGAGAAGTTCAACTTAGAGTTGTATAATAAAATCAAATTTTTCTTTTTCAAATATAAAACAAACATAAAATTTCTTCATCTTTCTCAAGAAACCATCTGGTGGCGAAACGGAGTTCGTCGGGTTTGCTAGTTTTATATAATTACGAGTGTATACTGCAAGTCTTTATAAATATAAATACAAAATAAAAACGTTAAACAGAAAAACAGAATTTACTTGAAAACTTTAATAAGAAATTTGGCACTGCTTTTTTATATAAAAGATGATCAATATCAGCCATTTTTTTCAAATTTTGTTCTTTATTTTTTTTAATATGGAAAATAGCAACACGAAAGCAGCTTTGATATGTTTTACTCAGTTTTGATAGGTGGTAATTTTTTATGAATTTTATGGTTGAAATTAACACAGGTCCACTAAAAAAGTTGGGTGTGTGACATATATTTTTCGATGTATTTCTAATATACTTTTACCGCTTAAGATAAATCTATAGTCAGAACTGGAACACAAAAAATGAAAAAACATTTAAAAACTGGCACAATCTTCAATCTAGCATTTTTTATGAATGAATGAATTATTATCCAGCGACTTTTCTTTTGTGGACCTGTATAATTGTTCGCACACATTCGTACTTCAAAAAAAAAATATTATCATAATTTGATTTGTTTTTTTTTTAAGCGAAAATTTCTCAGGGCTGACATGAGATTTATAAAAAATTGCGATGTTTACTGAAAAATTACATTTTCTAAATCTGCATTATTTTGTATGGTAAATGGCGAAGAAAACATTCACATGAAAGCAGCTGTTCTTTTAGCTTTGAAAATTTGGAATTACAATTACAATTTGTTCACATTTTCTTTTTCTGAAAATGAAATGTGAAACACAAGGTACTGCAAAAGATATTATTCTTTATTACCAAAATAACGAAAGTACTACAATTGTTCTTTTATATCCAAAAACAATTGAAAAGTACATCGCTATATTCACGCTCTAAATTGTCAAGAAGTCTTCAAATTTACGATGATTTAAACCTCGCGACAAGTTTTCAATTATTCTTGCAATATTGTTAAACTAATATTTAAATTAATATTTATTTTATCAGGAAATGCTATTTCTGTGAACAACAGTTTTTACCAGTATTTGACAGACAACAAAATTAGCCGTTACAGCCGTATTTGATAAAATATCTAGCAAAATAATTTGTAGTTGGGAAATGCTCGGCGGGCCGCAGGAAAACCTCCGGCGGGCTGCGGGTTGCTTCATCCTTGTTTTAGCGTATGCTTGCAAGACTTGATATGAGGCGTTTTAATACAAATTACACATTACGAATGTACAAAAAAATATTTAATTATTTAACTTGCGTCATTAGGGACAGGTTAATTCTATTTTTAATTATTAACAATTCCGAAATTTAATAGAAAACGCGTATGCTTAAGATACTCCGATCGTATTTCTAAATAGTAAGTTATTTGAATGCAATAGTAAAATTTTAGAATGTCAAATCATTCTTAGAGATTCTAAATTTGTTTATTTTGGTTGATTGTTTAAGGTATTTACCTATAAATTGCCAAATATTTTTTAAATAAATATTTTTTTTTTAAATTAGTAAATGAAGTGTACCCTGTCTTAACAAAGTAATTTCAATATGATCTAGGTGTGACTCATACCGTAATATGAGTGGCATTTTCTTAAATATATCATCTTAATCAACGAAAATTAAGAAATAAAATTATGTCGATAGAACTTTGCAATTTTGATGCAACCCATTTTTTCAAATTTTAACGAATTTGTATGATTTAACCACTTTCTGTAGAGCCTTAATATATAGGTTCGTTAAAACGAGTTTCATTAAAATTGCAATACAATTTCAACAATTAATTACGAAGAAACGGCTTAGCCGATCTTTAGCAGTAACTGATCAGCATGTTTTCCAACTGATATCTTTCGAACGTGGACGATAAATTATCCACTTATCTGCTCGGACGAATGTCTTTACGATCGAGCAAAGCGGCTTGAGTCCTTATTATAGAATTTCATCAAATAGCTCTTAAATTTTTGAAAACGGTGCAGCCGTTTTTGAGAAATCGTCGACGACATGTCGATCAAATTTTAGCTTACATATATATTGTACACACAAATACTTTTCCCAATTATGCCAAGCGATTCAGACTGAACTTGAATCGATGGGAAAACATAACATTAGCAAATCGGACTTTCTGGCAAAGGCATAAAGAAGTTATTTGAGAAGTTAAAAATGAAGTAATAATTAATGAAAACAGATATTTTATTAAGTGAATATCATTAATTAGAAATATAATTTAAAAGTATAATTTATAACAAATGATCACTTGTAACGAATGTTAGTGATACTTTGTTGTATTGATTTTTTAAATATTTTATCAACTAAGTAATTAAAAACTGCAGAAAAGAATCCATGACAATCATAAACAGATTTTAACAGCATTTCCTCGTAGTACAGTAGAACCTCGATTAACCGGACTAATTGTTGTCGATAGGCATCCGGATAATCGAATGTATGAATAATAATGTTGTGTATTTATTAAAAATAACAAATACATACATAGATATCAACGAAAATAATGTTTATTAAGAAATTGAAAATTCCTTATGTATGTACATATATATTTTCTTATAATTAGATTACATTACATACATATACTAAACTGCAGCATTAATCGTGCAAAAATTCGAATTGTAGGTATGTACATGCATATAAATTATTCGCAGTTGGTAGTCCGGATAATCGCTAATCCGTATAACCGAGGTCCGGATAATCGAGGTTCTACTGTATTATTTGCATTTAATTTATAAACAGCATACATATTTTTAATTATTTTATTAAAATAAATATTGTTCGATGATCTCAAATGCCACTAGGCTGGAAGTGCCGAGCATGGTCATATAATATGGCCTGTAAGTTTGTAAGATATTTAGATATATTTGTATAAGGGAATATGTATTGCTTTACCATAAATATGTTCTAATAATTTTTATTACAAAATGTGACTTTATGCGACGATTGAGATAAACAATAATATTGCCGAAAACCTCATTTGTTTTAATTTAAATGAGATAACTACAGTGAAACGATTTTCAAGAAGTTAGATAGAATTAAATAGTTTTACTGAATCCGGCATCCATCCAACCATTATTGAAACCTATCATGAAATGCCGCAAGAAAATCGAATTAAAGATTTTTAATGCTGTTTAGTTTCAAACCAAAAAGGCGACAAACACAAAAACAATTATTTTTGCTTCATATATTTGATAGATTCTTATAGGATGCCTAAAAGAAACACATGAGTGCATTAATAGGTGAATACTTGATCGGTATAGTTGTTTAAGGGGGTATTCTAGTGTCGGGGCATGAATTTTAGGTCATTTTTAAATCATCGTAAAAAATTTTATACTATCATTTTTTGTAGTACTCTTTATCAAGAGAACAGAAAAATTTAAATTAAAAAAAAAGTTAATAATTTAAAAAATTAGCACTGGTTGAGGTTGGCGATATCAAAAATTTGACACGTGTGACAAGACCATGCGACCATGCGACCATGCGAGACGTTTGCAATCCTCCTACTAATCCGAAATGAAAAATAATAAAAGATTATTTTTATTTAATAAAAGACATTTTTATTATGCGAGACGTTTGCAATCCTCCTACTAATCCGAAATGAAAAATAATAAAAGATTATTAATCTAGAATGATGTCGCAATGGTATATAATAAGATTTATTTAAAAAATAAATTTTTGACAAAATTATGAATATTTGAAAAAAAGGATCTCATCTTACAACTTTTTGGAGTTTCTCTTATTTTTTAAAAATAGTAAAAATGAAAATTTCGAGATCAGCATAGTATACGCCTGAGAGAAGTCTTATAAAGAAGGTACTCAAGTCCATCGATCCAGTAGAACTTGAGAAATCATGGGCATCGTATTGAAAAAGTCGGCATTGAGATAAACGCGTTTAAAGTTTTGCAAAAGGAAAAAAACAGAAGAGGATTATTATCTCCGAAAATAATTAAAATTTTTAAAATTCCTTTCGTACACATATTCTTAAATAATTGAAATTTTGAAAATATGATAAGAATTATTTAGTTTCGGGGACGGGACGGTTTGAAGTGAACCGTACTGTGGTGTCGAGCTCCTGCCACGATAGTCATTTTACAACACTAAACCTACCGACAATTCGTGTGTACCTATAGATAGTAAATTCAAGTAAAAATTCATGTGTATACCCAGGGCCGGTCCTGGGGTCCTCAGCGCCCGCATGCAACTTTTTTTCTAGCGCCCCCCCCCTATTAATATTAACTGTTTTAATAGTTTATCATTAAAATTATATAAATATTTACATATTTTTTAAAAAATTAATTTTTAATTATTCTGGATTAAGTACACAAAAAATTAGATATAATCTAAAAGGATATAAAATATGTTGATTTTAAATTTATTTATTATTATCGATATTAATAAATAAAACAATCTCTGTCATAATATCACATTTTAGTAATATTCAATATGTAGTAAATTGGTTAAGGATGTAAATTCGACTACCATACCAAAAGAATTAATATTTTTGTTAGATTAAAGTTATAGAATTTAAGAAATGCATTTCAGAAATATTATTTATTATTTTAATATAAAGATCTTGATATCAAAATAATAAATAATTTCTGAAATGCATTTATTAAATTCTATAACTTTAATTTAACAAGAATATTAAGTGAAATAAATAAATTAATGTTTAATTTGGATTTAGTGCACAAAAATTTAGATATAATCTAAAAGCGTATAAAATATATTGATTTTAAATTTATTTAGAAAATCGAGGTGATTCGGGGGTTGATTATAATCAAGTATTTTGAAATTTTCAATTATTTTTAACGTATGTGCAATAATAATATTTAAAAAAACTAGCATTTAATTTTCAAACATAACACTCGTATTTCATGTTGGATTTTTTAAATTTTGATTTAATTTAATTTTTCATCATTTACAATATCCAAAATTGCTTCGTAAACTTCTTCTTATCGATATCGTAAGAGCCGTCATATTCAGAGTATCAGCTTGTTGTTTTAAAGTTGAATTTTAAACGTATTTTAGAAGTATTGTTCAAAAATCAGAAAAAAATGCAAAGAAATTACACATTTCTTGAACAATATTGAAAAAAAAAACGTATTATATTTGATATGTATTATTTCTGAATAGTTAATAATTATTGAATTTAGAGTATGGACACCACTAGGTATAAAACAAGCTTTAAAATTTTCGTTCCAAAGTAAATTTTGCTTTCATTTTTCATATTTGTTCCACGCATGTCTTCAACATTCAAAGTTCAACAGATGCGAAACATTTGCAACAAAAGCAAAAATTACAATTCAATTTCTCGGAATAAACAAGTCATTTTCTAAGCATTGACTCCCCATTTTTTATAATTTGTTTATATTTTTTAACAAGTTCCGATTCAACTAAATCAGCTCGCAATTTTTTGTCAATAATGCCCAACAATTAATTTAATCTTTCGCAGGTTTGCGCTTATGGAATTGAAAACTAGATAATTTCTTTTTCGATACCACGGTAACTTCAAACAAAGAAAAAATTGCGAAACAGAGCTTATTTACTAATTTGCAGAATTATTAATCGGTTAATTGTTTCAACTGATATCACATTGCAAAATAAATATGCTTTTCGTGTCTCCGTATCCCTTGTTAAGTTAAATTATTTATTACAATTTATTAAATATTCTAGATTTTAAATAAATAATTCTAGATTTTATATAAAAAATATAAATATTATATTATAAATTTAATTTTCGAAACTCGTTTTGGCGCCCCCTAAGGCTTGCGCCCGCATTTTTTGCATGCATTGCATGCAAGGCAGGACCGGCCCTGTGTATACCTATACCAACCGCGCGCGGTGAAATTGACCTAAAATGGGCCAGCGGTGGCGATATCGGTTAGAGCGTGGGCTAGCAGCAACTAGTCCCAGGTTCGCTGGTTCGATTCCCGTCACCGCCGTGGCCCGACATCAGGCAGCTTTGATGTCAAATTTTCACTTGGGGTTATAGATCACAATATAATTCCAAGTGGAAATCGTCCTTCGTGGACATAGCTGCAACATCCAATCACTTGTTAACTATTAGACGTAAGAGCTAGTATCAAAAATATCCCACACATAAGAGAATGGTAAATCGATGGATTGCCTCTTATGAAATAAGTAGTCATAAGTCTTGTGACCAACAGCTTATAGAACCTATAAGAGTTCTGATTGCTGTTCAAACAATTACAATAAAAAAAAATTGACCTAAAAAGTTATCTATTTTATTAATTATTTATTGCACATAATGATGGATTTATTGTACATAAATTAAAGAAATTGTCGTGAAATTCTATCTAAATTTATTTTTATATAATTTCTAAAAGAAATTATAAGAAAAAACTAATAATATTAAATATTTATAAAGAATTGTCATATGCATACATAATATACTTGTCTCGGCTTTCTAGCATAGTTTACTAATTATTTTAGTCTGAAATATAAATATAACGCAAATATATTGTTTGTTTCGTAACTTTCGCAAAATTTTATTTGACAAATTTTTCGTCCACACAAAGCCGAACTTATGGACAGTGTTGATAAAAACTTGATTTTCTAGAGATTTTGAATATGCATCGCCGAATTAAAAAATTAACTAAAACAAAAATTCGTGCCTAAAAATGCTTTTGCTCGTCGTCTCTCTATACACAATTTACGCATATATCCAGCTAGGTTCAAAATATTGAAATATACCTAAAGCTGCCATCAACAAATTTTCAACTTCATGTTACATTTCTTAGCCATCTAGTCTGCCACATTTTCATCAAACAATGTACTAATACACTTATTACTTAATAACACTTTTATTGCTTTCACCTGTTTCTGTTGGATAATGTTTGAAACTTGGGGCAATCATATTTTTATACACGGTCAGAGTAATGAAATATAATTTATACAAATTGCTTCAAAATCTGTGAATGAATTTATCAGATTTAGAACAACGAACTATCCAATAATCCAATTGAAGAATTGAACACTCCTTCTTCTTGACATTTCTCAAATAGGAATACCCATTTATTATATATTTACTATTGACCTCACAGATTATCCAGAACTTTATTCTAAATTTGTCTGGTTCATTTGATATATTTTGTATAAATCTGCAACTGCATTTCGACGGAAACAACTTCCCAAATAATATTATTTTTCATTGGTCAAATTGACCGACCGCGGCAGTTAGGTCACATAACAATTTTTTGGGAAAATAGAAAAAATAACTTAAATCTTGGAGTGGAGAAAATATCATTAGTGTATTCTAAGAATTGTCATATGGTTTGATAATGGTGTTTTAACATTTAAAAATGTCTAAGTTATAAACAATGTTTGAAACGGTCAATTTGACCGGCGTTGGTAGATTTAATGTTAAAATTAACAACGCATATTTTTGGAATTCTAACTCAAATTCTAGCACACCAACTCAAATTCTGGATATATATTATAATTATATACACAGATTTTCCACGTAATATATAAAATGTTTATTGGTTTATTAACTATTGAGTTTGGTTTATTAATATTGAGTTCCTCGGCCATCGACATGTATTTAGGTGAGACTTATATATGCAACAACTGTCTGCGCCAAACGCATATGCGGCGCCTGTCCTCAAAGGAGTAATGATAATTTATAAATAAACTGAATTTTGATTGTTCAACATGCTATACAGTGTACCTGCACATAAAATAAACAGTAATAAATCTTATATCTGTAAAGTCGTTTAGCGTCCAAAGTCTAAACTCATTAATATGAATGTATTTTCTGATCAAGTTTTTTTTTACAGAGCAATTTTTCCTAAATGATCCGGAATTAAAAGATACTGTACCAAATGAGTATTTAAGTCACAAAGAGAAATATGAAGTTGCCGTGAGGAAGGCATGCTTGATAACAAGGAAAATTCGGGAGTTCAGCGAGCAAGGTCATGGAGGTGTAGACAGTTACCGGTCTGTATGTTGTGCCAATATTATTATTATGTTAATTCAATTTTTGGAAAGACAGGTCTAACGGTTCCGGAGATCGAGTAAAAAATGCCATTTCAGGGTAAAAAATGCTCATTAGACATATGCATGTGAAATAATCAGATATTTTATAGAGATTTTAATAATAGGTATAAAGTTTGTTTACATTTGTATGTATTCCATACTAAAGTTTATCCGTTAGACTGCGACGAGGCGCCTACGGGTTTCGATATTTCTTCTTTAAAATAGCTACTTAGCACAATTGCTCTGAAAAAAAGTTCGAAATTTTCAAAAAATTTCAAAATATAAAAAAAAATTTTACAAAAGGTCTTCATTTTTTAGGTTCAAAATTTTCAAAAATCATAGTTTTTTTTTATAAAATGGCATCAAAATCATTTAAATACCAGGGTGGGGCCGATTTTGTATGGAAACACATCCATACCCTTTCAAATTAAACCATTAGCCCATTTCATTCATAGGGGCCGTTCAAGTATTACGTAAGCACTTTAGGGGGTTATTGATTTGCTTATTCTGGGTGACATGGGGGCAGGGGAGTCTAGATGATTATTACGTCATAGGTAGTATTTTTTTTACTGAATGGCAACCTTACATTGTCTTTGCTTGAAATCGAAACGCATTTTCGGGGATTCCCGCAAATAATGCATACGGTTAGGCACTAGAGGTGGGTCGTTGACGGTTTTGCGACGTAGACATTCCAAAATTGGATAAAAGTGAGCAGACTTACAACACTGAGCAGCAATCCAAGCAATCCAATGTCATCGAAAACTTAGAATCATGGATTCGGGTTCCATGGACTGAAGACTGTTAATTTAAATTTAATATGTGTACCAAAAATTAAAAATAAGTTTGTTATGTTTGTAAAATTAGAATAATTTTGTTACCCTATGTTGAATACCATATCAGTAAAATCTCTACATCCTAAATATATTTCCTTATTTTTAAAATTATAACTAGTGGGGCGCATGGCATCGTGCCTTAAGGCAAATTGTTGGAACTTTCCGTACCATAATTTTTTTTTTTAAAGATTAACATTTTTGAAAAAATTTACTCCGAAAAATTAGATTTTTGAGAAACTATAAATTTTTGACAAAAATTTACTTTTTTTGAAAAAAAGACTGAAAAGAAGGAAATTCTGAACTTTTTTTCAAAGCAATTGTACTGCGCGTAAGCGCTGCGCCGCCGTTTAACGGATGAGCATTGGTACGGAACCCATAGGAATGTAAACCAAATATATACTTATTGTTAAAATCTCTATAAAATATCTTATAATTTTATGTGCATGCACATGTAGAATGATCATTTTTGACTGCCAGATGGCATATTTTTTTACTAGATCTCCGAAACCGCTAGACCTGCCTTCATGGAAATTTGATCAGTTCCTTATCTTGTTAATACAAGTAAAATGTTTTTTGGGAAGTTAATTATAACCCAATAATTACAATATTTAAAAAAACAATATATTAATTGCAAAATGTTTACTTAAGCATGGGGGTAGGGGGTAAGAGCTTTGCTTACTTTTGCTGACCAGGGGGATGGGGGGGGGATAAATAATTGTAAAAATCTGCTTACGTAATACTTGAACGATCCCATAACAAAACTAGCTGTAAGTGGAATTCTGTCTTAAGGCAATTAGGGCATCGTGCCTTAAGGCAAATTCCTGGAACTTCCCGTACCAAAAATTATTATTTTTTTAAAAACGATTAACATTTTTGAAAAAAAAATTACTTCGAAAAATAAGATTTTTGAGAAACCATAAATTTGACAAAAAATTACTTTTTTTTGAAAAAAAAATTTAAAATATTTTTTTTTTTTAAATCTTTTTTTTTTTGAAAAAAAAAATGTTTTCTTTATTTTGACATATGTTGGAAGATCTGAACTTTTTTTCAAAGCAATCGTACTGCTTTAATTGCATAGAGACAAAATATAAAGCGCGTAAGCGCCGCGTCGCTGTCTAACGGGTAAGCATTGGTACGGAACCCATAGGGATGTAAACAAAATTTATACTTATTGTTAAAATCTCTATAAAATATCTGATAATTTGATGTGCATATGTCTAATGATCATTTTTGACCGCCAAATGGCATTTTTTTTTACTTTTTTTGTTAGATATCCGAAACCGCTAGACCTGCCCTTATGAAAATGATCAAATCTTCATCTTGTCAATACAAGTAAAATGTTTTTTGAATTATTAAAATCGGACGCTCCGTTCTCTTAAAAACTGAGGTACCGTTTTTGGCACTTTTTGCTTTAAACTCACTTTTTGGCGTAACCGTAAAAGATATCGAAAAACAAATTACGTGGTTCTATTCATATTGGCTTAGGCCACATTATGTAGAACAATCGATGCCAAATAAATAATCATTTATTATTAGCTGAAAAAGATAAAATAATTTTTCAATTGATGTTTTTCGGTAGTGCGCTTACTTGGACCACTTTCTAATTAGCGTTATTAGAAAGCTTATTGTTTTTTCTTTTAGTACTGAAAATATTGTTCAAATCAATTTGGTGGAACACATTGGAAAATTGAAAAAACCGGAGCCAGTACGCCCGCGCGTAGCGCTAATAGTCCTGCAATTGCATGCAGTTCGTTCGGAGTTAGAATGAAGAATATTATCTAATATTTCTGAAAATTACATAAACTGAATGGCAAGATTGAAATTATTTATCTGAAGTATATCAGAGATCTTTAGAATTTTAGCTAGAATCAAAATTAAAATCCGAATTATTTTCGATGTTAAAAAAATATATGTTTTGAAATTAAAAACATTTTATTTGCTATTTGTCCAAAATAATCTTGTCGTCCAAACAAGCAAAAGCTTTTTTGAATCATTCAAATCAGATTCTTCGTTCTGTCAAAAACTCAATTTCTATCTTTACTCCGTATTTCTGAAAGGGCTGGATATGTCTTTGCCAAAAACTAATCAGTACATCTCCCAATTGGTTGATCCGTGCGCCCAAAATCGTAAATAAAAAATTGTATCCATACATTCGTACATGAAATGTACACAAATACACAGACACACACATATTTTTTTTCTATTGTATCCCAAAAATGTTGAGAAACATTCGAAACGTGAAGATATGCAAAAATTTTCGATTTTTGAACGATTACAATAACTCACCCTATATATACTACGGAAAATTAAAAATATCACTGTATTATGAGTAATTGCGAATTAGTTAAGAGAAATTAGTTTAGAAAATATATACTATAATTTAATTGAAGTGCATGTTTTTAATTTTTAAAAAGTATAATAGTAAAATATGCAAATTGAGACCAATATATGATTATGATGTATTTCTAGAAGATTCTGAAATTTATTATCAACTTTGATTATAGGGCATTACTGGGAGCTACTCTTGGTTCTGCAATATTGAAAGATGGCAACCCACTTACATTACATTACGTTATGTTTATACCAACACTCATGGGACAAGGAACAGTGGAACAACAAGCGGAATGGATAGGCAGAGCTTGGACTTGCAGTATTATTGGGACATATGCTCAGGTGAAAATATTGGATTATATATATATATATATATATATATATATATATATATATATATATATATCATCCGTATTAATTGAATTTCATTGAAAGCGAGTTTAGTTTTGATATAATCGGTAGATAACAATAATACTGGCAAAAGTGTAAAACATAAAAAATAGCAAAAGAAGTAGATTAAGTTAAATAAAGTAATTTCACAAAATATAAATTATATAAATAGTTATTTCAACTCTGCTGATATTTCTGACAAAATACCAGATCTAAGTTATATATAGTGTTATGTTGAATAATGTAATTAATTTGTAAAGTACCTTTAAAATTAAAATAAGACGTTAAATTTGTTTGCAAAAAGGACTAGACAACAAATTTTTGAAAACTGAACATAGCCAGATAATTGTTCGTTTGATATATGTTTATTTGCTCAAATAACAATATAATTTATATTTGTTCAAAGTCAAATTGGATCTTTTTGCCCCCCCCCCCCCTCTACCTCACATAATTTTTATAAAATTTGCTTTAATTCATGGATTGTTCAAAAATCAGGTCAAAAAAGGAATAGTTAATTCATTTTCTATCTCTTCTCGCAGAAAATTGAAAATTTTGTATAAGCTCAGTACACAAAATTCAGAATTAAAAAATAATCTGAAAAAGTTGAAACGTAATTAATATTCGATCAATTGGAGTTTGTAATGACTATATAAGTCAAAAGACCAAAAAATATTTGGGTTGGATTATACCATGTTTTCCATAGAAAGTGTATAAAACTTCCAGTTTGATTGTATTAACAAAATATGGACAAACGAGATTTAGGGGTTTTATTGATTTTACGTTACTTCATTGTCTACTATAGCATTCAAACAACACACTTAAAATAAAGTATTAGTTTATGGATTCTCTAGAAATTGTTTAAAAATACCTTACTTAGCCAAACAACGTTTAACAGGTCAACTAGTATCTATATATATATATATATATATATATATATATATATATATAAAATAATTAGTTTAAATGTTCCAATTATTAATAGCTTGGTTTATCACAGTGTAATAGTGTAGTGTATTTTTGTATAATTAATTTCTGTAAGTACTTACTCGTATATATAAGTTCTATAACTTTATATTATTTTCCTCCTACATCATATAAAATCTTTTAGTTCCACTGAATGACGGTCTTGATGAAGACTGAAACGTATGGATAAATAAAGTATTTCAAAACTACTTTAGTTTTTTTTTTACTTGGTGTTACTGCCCAATTCTAAATAACTCATCAAAATATATATCAACACCAAACTCACATACATCAAGGGCTCAAATGGTTCCGAATTGATATAAAACAATTCTCTGAAAGTTTTAGCTCTTCATATTGTTTTTTAGATAGGGCGCAATTCAATCAAAGTTTTGTATGGAAATAGCATGAAAAAATTTTCAAAAATTTTGCAGAGCGTCGAATTTTCAATAAAAAATGACACGAATTTTCACTTTTAATTAATTTGTCGCTAAACAATTTTTGGTTACATTCTAGTGTGTACAGATTAACTGGAATTTATGTGAAATAGTGGAATTTATAATATAGTTTTTTCAATAACATTCAAGAAATATATACTTTCCTTGCATCTTTTTCGAATCTATTCTTTTGAAATACGTTAAAAATTTCACTTTAAAACAACAAATGGGAAAGTAAAGATAAATACATACAATTCGTCTCTTACGATATCAATTAGGAGAAGTTTACGATGCAATTTTGGATATTTTAAATAATGAAAAATTGAATTAAAATAATCCATCAATATAAAGTACCAATGCTATGTTTAATAATGAAAGGCTAGATTTTTTTAATCTCGGATTTGCTCAATAGAATAGATTGCATAAAATCCTCAAAATAAATAAATAAAATGTTTTAAAACCTAAATATTAATATTACGCATGCTTTTGAAATAATTGAAAATTTAAGAATCTTCTTGCAAACAATAAATAACATATTGAAATTTTTGGATGTGTTGAAAAAAAGTTTGGGTGGAAAATAAAAATTGAAAAATAGTTCGGTAGTGCGACAATGATAGAAGACACAAAAATTTGATTATGAGCACCCGCGAATTGCCTCAACCTTCTGAATAATTTCAAAAACAATGTATTTATGCGCTTTTAGTTTACATATATCTAATTTTTTGTATACTAAAAAATACAGAATTAATAAGAAGTATTTTAAAAAATTAATGATTACATTTAACTAAATTTTTGCATAATTTTAATGATGAACTGTTAACTGTTAAAACAGTTAAAGTAATAGGGGGGAGGGGAGCGCTAGAAAAATAATGGCATGCGGGCGTTGAGAACCCCAGGACCGACCTATATATATATATATATATATATATATATATATATATATATATATATATACGAGGTGTGTTCAAAAAGTACCCGGAATTACTAATAATTAAATTTCGCGGGTCTGGAGTGTCTGATTGTCAAAATTTTTTTTTATTGTGTTGGTATACATGCCCCTAAAGTATGATGAAATTTTCAGCTATATTCACTGTTTACTTTGTCTGTGGTAGTCGCTAAGGTTCGACGTGTTTTTCTGAGCTCGGCGATTTTTACAATGGAAGAATTGAAAAGTCAAAGAATTTGTATTAAATTTTGCGTAAAAAATGAAATAAAGTGTTGCAAAGTGCAAAAATTCACCAGATATGGCTCCGTGTGACTTTTTCCTATTCCCAAAGTTGAAGAGACCCATGAAAGGACGGCGGTTTTCCTCGATTGAAGAAAATCGCTGAGAGTGCTCAAGGACATATCAAAAAGTGAATATCAAGGGTGCTTCGAAAATTGGAAAAAACGCTGGCATAAGTGTATTATATCTGGGGGGGACTACTTTGAAGGGGACCACATTAATGTAGACGAATAAATAAATATTTTTTTGAAAAAACGAAAATTCCGGGTACTTTTTGAACAGACCTCGTATATATATATATATATATATATATATATATATATATCTATTAAAATATTTTATAGACTGAACTGGGTCATGGCACATTCATTAGAGGTCTAGAAACAACTGCCACATATGAGCCTGAGACACAAGAGTTTGTTCTTCATAGCCCAACTCAAACATCATTCAAATGGTGGCCTGGTGGGCGTAAGTATAAAATTATTACAAACTTAATAACTTCCCGTAGGGTAAGTTATTGTATTGGGCCGAAAATCGAAATTGAAAATTTTTACATTTTTCGCCGTTTTGAAGGTTTCTGAACATCTCAGAAAAAATGGATGTGTGTGTGTGTATGCATGTATGGATACAAATTTTCAGTCACGTTTTCGGGCGCACGTATCAACCGATTTGAATGGTTCAAAAAACATTCGATTCCTATTGATAGGGAGATGTGCTGATTAGTTTTTGGCAAAGGCAGGTCCAGCAGTTACGGAGATAAAGAGCAAAGAGTGCAGAAACTAGAAATCGAGTTTTTGAGAGAACGGAGCATCCGATTTGAATGGTCTAAAAAACATTCAATTAGTAATGATTGGGAGAAGTGTTTATTAGTTTTTAGCAAAGGCAGGCCCAGCCATTTCGAAGATACGGAGCTAAATGTGTAAAAAATGGCAGTTTTTGAGAGAACTAAGCGTCCGATTTAAATGATTCAAAGAACTTTCTGCTTGTCTTAACAAAATAATTGATTTTGGAAAAAAACATTTTTGTTTCAACTTTTTTTTTCAAAAAAAAATTTTTTTGTATATCGAAAATAATTCAGATTTTATTTTTAATTCTGACTATAGTTCTAATATACTTTAAACAAATAATTTCAACTTTGCAATTCAGTTTATATAATTCTTATAAATAATAAACAATGTTACAATATTAATAATAATCTATTTGAAAACATTCAGTATTCCTCGAACATTTCGTTACGGTACGTGAAGTTCCAGCAATTTGCCTTAAGGCACGATGTCATACACCCCACTAGTTTAGTTCTAGTTTAAAAAATGTAAACGATAATTTTATGATGAAAAGCACCCTTTGAGCGCTATTGGCGGCCGAATGGACTCGCGCCTGGTGCGCGAGACAAATAATATGCCACGAGGGGCATGTAAAAAATAAAGTTCCCAACGCTGTACACTCGCCGCGCGAGATGCTTGGGGAAATCCGGCAACATCATTTTCATTGTTGATCCTTGCCACTCCATTCCAACTACCTGGAAGATCACTGCAAAGCTTAGTGCCAATCTAACAGCCATCCGCGATGGAGCGCGCAATCGCCGTCACCGCCAGGTGTGAAATCCGTTCAGTCATTCGAGTTTTAAACGTGAAGAAGCTTACACCTTCTGAAATTCATAGACAGTTGGAAGAAGTTTATGGCAAAACTTGCATCAACGTCCAGCACGTCCTCAAATCGTGCAGGGAGTTCTCCGCAGGACGCACCGACGTTTACGACGAGCAAAGGAGCGGGAGGCCATCGAGTTTTTGGACCGAAAATGTGTCTTGCTTACCGAGTTAATGCTTAAAGGGTCCACTATAAATTTGGACAAGTACTGCGAGACACTAACAAAACTCAAAAAAGCCATCCAAAATCGCCGGAGAAGAAGACCGAGCAAGGGCGTGGCGGCGGAGTTCTTCGAAGCGGGTTTTCAGAAGTAGAAAAATAGTTTGAAATACAAGTTTTCCGATGGTATACACATTTATTGCAATAAAAAATGCCTCAACCCTGAAAAAAATATGGCAACTTTACTTTTTACATGACCCTCGTATAACTATATAAATTTAAGACGATTTTATGACGCGTCTTGCTTGCGTTATTATAGATAATAAATAGCCGTACACCTTACTTTCGTGGACATTTCGTAGAATCGGTTAGTTTTTCTGATTGGACGATTCAGAAATACGGTGGTAACAACTGTTATTTAATAATAAAAACGCACATCAGATTATGTGTTTTGCTACAGAGATTTAGCAGTATGCAGAATGTTGTTTTTATTATATGCTATTGCACTTCATCACATACAAATATCATTTATTTCAGTGGGACATACAGCAAATTATTGCGTGGTCGTTGCGCAGCTATACACTAAGGGTGAATGTCATGGTATTCATCCATTCATTGTTCAATTACGGGACGAGGAGACGCATGAACCATTACCAGGAATAACAATAGGTGAAATTGGAACCAAATTGGGCATGAATGCTACCAATAATGGATTTTTAGGCTTTAATAAAGTTCGCATACCACGTGAGCAGATGTTGATGAAAAATGCACAAGTTCTTGAGGTTAGATTGATATATAAATTGATATAAAACATGCATTGTTTCATTATCTTAAAAAATGAAATAATATGTTGTAGATTTGATTTCAATTTTTTTTTCGACATATAGAAGTTCAAGTATGTATGTTAATAAATAGTTAAATTTAATTTGCAGGATGGAACGTATGTAAAATCTCCCAGTAGTAAGTTAACATATGGTACTATGATTTTCGTACGGGTTGTGCTCGTGCAAGATATGTCGGTATATTTATCTAAAGCTGTTACGATTGCGGTAAGATATTCGGCCGTACGGAGGCAATCACAACCTAAACCCGAGTAAGAAAGACTTTTAATATTGATGTCGAAATAGCATTTATTTTTTGTGCATGTGTTTTTCTTATGTTTTAAACATTTTTAGTACTTAATATTATATAATATATAGTAATATTTTTTAATATCATTCATTTTTGTATCATTTTTTTTCCAGTGAACCAGAGCCTCAAATTTTGGATTATGTAACACAGCAATATAAACTATTTCCAAATATCGCCAAATGTTTCGTTTTCCGTATGACATCAGAATGGTTATGGGACATGTACAATAGCGTGACGTCTGAGCTGGAATCTGGGGATATGGAACGACTTCCCGAAGTAAGATAAGTTAATATTTTCGGTCGAATTAAATTTGGAGATGGTATCGTAGTACTCACAATCAGAATTATTTCTCGTCGATAGGAAACGCAAGTTTAAGATGTGTAAACAAGATTCAATAATTGTTTTAACTCAACTTTAGATATATATTATTCAATATATCCTAATTAGTTTTTGTATAAGAGGGTTATGTTTTATAATTACTGAATGGCTGTATGAATGCATACTGTAGACAGTTCGAATAGTAACTTGCCGTGGTGGCTAAGAGCTGGTATACAACCAACAGTTTGTTGGCTGAGAGTGGACAAAGGACCGAAAAGGGTTAAAAACATATATTATTATTGCTGTCGACTTATTATTAAACAAGGTTTTTCTGGTATTTATTTAAATTTATTCGTATTTTTTAGTTTTATTTAACGTTTGAAATATTTTTACTAACTTTTTTTAATGGTGCCAAATGTTTTTCACAATACCAAAAATTTACCTAGTTATATTGTGATGGTTACATACTTTAAAATATTAATCAGTTCTCTGATGTTTTGCATTATTATTTTAAGGGGGTATTCTAGTGTAGAAAATAAAAAAAACGATTTTTTTATTTCATATTTTGAAAGTTTAACTATCTAATAATATGGGTACGAGAAGGTTTTTGAAAATTTGAATTATTTGCGGAGATGAAGTCATTTTACTGACCCGGTCTCTAAACTGGATTGGCAGGGTCTAATCGGACAAAAGGCATTAGGAAGTCATTAGACCAATTTATGACAGTTTATCGTCAGATGAATTATTTTAGAAACTCAGAACAATATTGAGTCTCTAAACTCGTTGATATGGATTTTCGCGCCGAAACATATTCATTCCCGATCTCGGGTAATTGAAATAGCAACATTTATTGCTGTTTACATGTTTGATTAAGGTTTCTTTCCGATTTTAAAAATGATGACCCTTATGGTAATGCAAATTGGGCCAGAAACTCATTCATTTGCTGTAAGATGAGACAACGCCCGGATTGAACGCTTCAAAGGAGGCTAGAACAGCTTCATTGAAAGAGAGAAATGCAGAAAATAGTTTTTTTTGAAGTAGAAGAAGGTCCGATGCATGAAGCAGGAATGGCAGATTAAATAAAAAAAGTATAACATATCATTTTATGACTTTGGCAGAAAAAAACTTCACGCAAAACTTTAAATGCGTTTTTCTCTCAGACTCTCAGAACAGACTTTTTCAGTACTGTTGACACGATTTCTCGAGTTCTACTAGACCGTCTTCTTTATAGACCTATCTGTAGTCCGAACTAGCATCATTCCCAAATTCCAATTTTTACTATATTTAAAAAATTCGAGAAACTCAAAAAGAAACAGTAAAAAAGACACTTTTTTTTAAAAAAAGTCGCCAATTTGTGAAAAAAATTTTTTTTTACTCATTGCTAGTTCGGGCGATTGCGACTTGATTGTAGATTAATAATCTTTTTATTTCTTTTATTTTGGATGGCTAGGAGCGCTGAAATCATGTCAAGACTGAGGTGTCAATTTTTTGAGACCCTCCATTTTATCAGCTGCCAGTTTCTTCAATTTTCAACTTTTTTTACCGGATAGTCATTGCTTTCTTTAATGACACCTTAAACATGACCTAAAATTCATTGCTTTACTAGAATACCCCCTTCATAACGCTCGACTTGTTATTTACTTCCTGAAGGAGTTTAATTTCGCCAAAAAATCCGACTTTCTTCTTATGTTTTCTCGACGTTTCAAATCCCCTTCTCACCGTTTGAGACATATTTGAAAAATGATGTGTCGTTGTCATTTTTTTTTATTGTTGTCGCCGTTTTCTTGAAAACAGCTAAACCGTTTCAAATATATATGAGCTACTATGTGACTTGATAAGAACGAGCGTTGTTTAGTTTTGCGAGACCATCTAGTTTTCGTTTTAGCTGCACGCGATGTCATGTTGCCTGAAAGTGCTCAGTACATCTGACGCAGCCGCTGGTGTCGAGACCTGTAGGTTAGCCTGCGGCGGTCATGGGTACATGGCTTGCTCTAATTTACCTGCTATGTATGGGCTGGCGACTGCGGCATGTACATATGAAGGAGAAAATACTGTATTATTACTTCAAGCTGCAAGGTAAAGGAATTGTTAAGTAACGTTGCTTAACGTTAGTCCACGTTTTTTATAGAAAAAAAGTATAAATTAATATCAAACAGGGCCTCTTTGTCGTTACCTCAATAATTGTTTTCGAGCTCTATATATAGAACCTATGTATACATAAGTTTAATTTTAGGTAAATATATAATATAGAAAAGGAAAGCCTAAATAATTTAAGTAAATGAAATGAGAACATATATAAAATAGATTTTCAATAAAAACACAAACACGTTTTCACAAAAATGATTAAAATTATAAAACTTGAATATGAAAGTTTGGTATAATAAAACCTTTAAACGCTTTAAAGTGCATATTTTATAGAAATCTAGTACATCTCCTGTAGTGCGAAAAAAACAGGATAAAAAATACATACAATTTAAGTTTACACCCCATGACGTTTTCTTTCTGGTAAGCCTGTTCATTTAATGTATTACCTCCTTTCTTTAATTTAAGAATTTGAGTTTGAATAAGTTATAAATATATATAATATAAATAGGAATAAATGTTCTTAGATTTTTCTGCACTAATGTTGAAAAAAATCCAAAACTCTGTTTATAATATTCTAAAGATCTAAAATTAATTCTGATTTTCATGTAATTAATCTTAAAGTTTTAGTCAAGGTTTTTAATTGAAACTCACATTTTTTATAAAAATGCAATTTGGTAAAATATTGATGTATAAATATTTGCACAACAATATTTGCCATAATTATATGTTATATTAATCAGGTTATTTTTTTATATAGATTGCTATAATATATACAAAAAAATAATAATCAGGTTTAAGTAACTTTGTTTAGATCTATTAAGTTCTATATTTTATTTAGATGCTTGGAATCAATAAAAACTATGGAACAAGATGAACTTGTGGACAACTTTATATAAAACGCGTAATGATTATTTTTCAGGTATTTAATGAAAGCTTGGGTGCAGGCTGTTGCAACGCCAAACGAATTGATGCCAACAGTCAAATATCTTGCTAAAGGAGCGAAAGATAAAAGTAGTTCAGTTTCTTGGAAAAATACCATTGAAGGACTCATAATAGCCGCCCAAATGGTTGCAGCAGGGTATGATTGTATTTTTATCAAACAAATCAATTGCTAATGCATTTGCTAACCGCAGTTTTAGTAACCACACTATAGTGTGCTATGCGCCAATGAGTGAAAACGCGTTCACAAATGTATTTGTATTGGATTCTTAAATAAATGCTATAATTATTTTATGATAGGGGAAATACGGACAAAGCGGTATATGCGGACAAAATCACATATATAAGGCCTTATTTAAAAAATTGGATGGTTTTAGTAATGCTTTTGCGGCTCTATAACATGAAGAAAAGCATAATCACAATCCAGTCATAATTTGAGCGTTATTGTCACAGTCTTGTCGGAGTAATCAATCCAAACGTGTATCGCGCTTTCTAAAGCTTATTTTGACGATGGGTTTTCTCATGTTTTTTTGAGGACTTATTTATTGTTATTTGTATTTTTTTAAAATCAATGAACTTATGCCAGTACTAATACTTTCGATCAATTTTATTGAATTTATCAGAGGTTTGGTGAAATTTTGATTATTTACTTATTTTTGTTCACTTAACAAAATGACATTCTTATATAATGACTTACAATTAGTACTATTTTGGAAGCATTAAAGGAAAATTCATTAGAAGTCAAGAAAAAAGTAAGTTGAACCTATCAAAGGCGACTGGTCATTAACTTCTACTCCAATTACTTCCGTCAAAATAGATCAAAGGATCAGTAAAAAGAAGAAGCCTGCATTTGTAATCTTTTTTTACCATTCTGAGCCCGGCTAGGTTGATTACGATGTATGATTTGTTCCCTTTGAGCTCGATCCTTATGGGCTGATGTCTTAAAAACGGTTAAATGACGGTTTGTCATCCATTTTCTTGAATATTTGTATCTCAGTATGTTCATACTTTATATCATTTTGACCCTACTATATGGACAAAACTGTTTTTGTAATTAATGGGACAATTCTGCCGTAACAGCTCATAAAATAGCGTTATCATGGCTACGCTCTCTTATGCTTGTTCTTGGCATTGAATATTATGAAAATGTCTATCTATTTGCCGTGCGATCAGGCGTATTTTACATATAAACAAGCAAAGAATAATGTTATGATAATATAATGCTAGATGGTGCTATTATAATAAGATTATTCCTAACCATTTACTTATTGTGTTGATATTCTTGATACAGTAATTTCTAAAATTTTAAAAATTAAATAAAAAATCACCGATCGCTGCGTAATGATTCTAGAAGTCATTTAAAACATATAATATTTATTATGTAATATATTTCTACATTTATTCTATATCATGTTTTTTACTAAATAATTAAATAGAAGAATTTGAAATGAAATCTTATTGAACATTTGAAATTTCAAAAGGTATCGGAAATTTTTTGTTAGCTGTTCGTATTTTTCGTCCGCGATACGGAACAATTTGACATTTTGCCTTAAGGAAAGTTGCATGAGTTTTCAAAGGGTGGAGCCGATTATGTATGGCAATGCGCCCATACCCTTGTGCGTCGTGACTATTATGTACTCGACTGGCAGACTCTTGCAACCGCCAAAATGTTCTGACTATTTACATATACTTTCTGAACAGTTTAAAGAATACACCCTCAAAATTAGAGCTTTGTGAGAGCAGGTAATGAAACATTTTTTTTGACAATTTTCAAAAATTGAAGGGATAATGACGCAGCCGCGGAATGACTGCTATAATGGTACTTTCTTAATGGACCGATAATAAAATATCATTTTAAAAAAATCTAGCTTTATGAAAACAGGTTAGTATATACGTTTGGACTATTCTATTACTTCTATACTACTATTACTTCTATAACCTCTACATAATCGGCATCGAAATAGTAGATTACCACTGGGTGACCTTTCGACCTTTTTTCTAATATAATTAACCATCAAAATTACTGAATGTTGTTTTCTGTTTATAACGAGAGATTGTAATTCATAAAAGCAAATAAAAAAATAGTTCATCATGGCGTTTTCACTAATTTCATAATTGTTGTTTGATAACTGTATAACGTTAATTAAGTACTATTTGTTAACATTGATTAGATTCAATATATTATTGACATTAATAACTTGAATTATTATTACTTAATTTGATAATAATTCACTTCAATTTAATAACATGATCATTATTTTTCTATTTCATTACAATTCAATGCTATAAATTGCATTTTTAATTTTATTATTCATTTGAATTTAGTAATTTGACTTATGATTGTATTGAATTTAATCACTTAAATTATTAATGTCATTTGTGATTTTATGATTGTATTGAATTTAATCACTTAAATTATTAATGTCATTTGTGATTTTATTGAATTTAATCATTTAAATTTTTAATATTAACTTCAATTTAAAAATTCACTGTAATATTCCAGCTTGAATTATTAATTTGATGAGATTTTATTGAATTTAATCTCTTAATTATTATTAATTTAGATTTAATAATTCACTTTAATATTTTAGCGGACTGTGTAACGCTGGTTAATTAAGTTATTTCAAAGTTAAATGAACACAAATTATTTATGGTCGTTTGGACCAAAAAGATCAAATGATAGACTATCCGGTTCGTTTGGACCAATGTTGAGGTCCAAATGATCACTAATTAATGAATTATTATCTAACTAATTAATTATCTGGTTTGGCTGAACCAATGTCAAGGCGCTATTTACGTCTTCTTTCTGTTTTTGAGAAAAACGACTAAAGAATCGACATACATACATATATTTTTTCAAATTTTTATCTCAAATAGCACAATGGCTTTGAAATGTAGCTTATTATCCATTGCCTTGTTCTTATTTTCGAAATTTTGAAAAATTCCGGAAATTAAAAAAAAAATTATCAGATTTATTTAAAACTGGCTGACCCGGCAAACCTTGTTTTGCTAAGTAAGGTATATTCTAAACAATTTCTAGAGAATCAAAAATATTAATACTTCAAGTGTATAAGGATGTGTTGTTTGAATGCTATATACAATGAAGTATTATAAAAACAATAAACCCCATTAGTTTGTCTATATTTGGTCAATACAATCAAACTGGAAGATTTATACACTTTCTATAGAAAACATAGTATAATCCATCCAAATCTTTTTTGGTCTTTCAACTTATTGATTACGTTTCAAGTTTTTCAGATTCTTTTTGGATTCTGGATTTTGTGTATAATTGTAAATAATACTACTGAGCTTATACAAAATTTTTAAATTTTTGCGAAGAGAGAAGAAAGTAATTAAGCATTTCTTCTTTGACCTGCTTTTTGAAAAGTTTCAAGTAGCATTCGCTGAATTAAAGTAAATTTAATAAAAAGTATATATGTAGAGCAGGGCGAGGCACAAAGGTCCAATTTGACTTTGAACAAATATAAACTATATTGTGAAAACCATAACAATTATATCACAACAAATAACACATATCAAACGAACAATTATCTGACAACGTTTAGTAAACTGCCTTCTACTTCATCATTGTATGAAATGTGCTTTTTTGATGTCTTTAAAAAAATTGTTATCCAGACCTTTTTACCCTATAGACGGGGTAACTTGAAACGGGCAGGTGGCAAAAAGGTTTAAAGCCTTATTATAATTTTAAAGGTATTTTACAGATTTTTAGCTAATGCTAAAAAAATACCAACGGAAGAAAATACTTTTATTGTGGATTTTCAAAGATTACCGTTCATCTCCCCCATTTCAAAAATTACCGTTTTCAAATCAAGGTTATAGGCTATAACCATGATTTAAAAACGGTTATAGCTGGTTATACATATTTTTCCTCTACTTTCAAATATTGTTGTTGAACAATGCTTAACTTTACTGATTTTTGACACATCAGTGGTGGACCTTTTTAACCCCTGAACTTCATATATTACTATCTATTCCTCGATAAATTCTAGGAAATTATAACTGGAAAAATGTTATTTGACAAAATGTCCATTTGATCGATACCAAATTTAGGTTCTGAATTTAAATAAAATAAATAAAAAATAATATAACCTAGAAAAAGTTTTATAAATACCAATGAGTATATAATTATACAAATGAGAGCACCGTGTTTGAGAAAAATATGCCAAAAAGTGCATTTTCATATTAACATTTCAAAAAAGTTTATATTTTGAGTCTCTAGTAATACTTGCGGCCCGTTTACTAACGTTTTTGTATATAAATACAACTACAAACAAAACTACTTATTACAATTTAATCATAATTAAGTAATATTCAAGTAAAACATCCTATTAAACGTAATTGAACATCATCTGTCAAAAACGTTTGACATTTCACGTATTAGCCACCGTCTATTGTTTTATTTAAAATACGCTTCTACAAAAATTTTCAAAGTAAAAATGTAAAGTTTCAACGCAATTTTGAAATAATATCTCACCTTTCCGAGCATCTCGGGATTGGCACGAATGTTTCAAGACTAAGACTGGCCAAATCGGTTGAGCCATTTTTGAGTTTTACCGAATCATTTGATCGAGAGCTCCATTTTTATATATGAGATGTATTTGTTTATTTGACAGTAATCTGTATTAGGGCACAATGAAATACACCACAAACTGATTTGTATTATTATTATTTACTCAAAGTTATTGCTTGAAGCCCTAGTGCGCAATGTAGTTTTATTTATTGTTCACAGATGTGTTAAACAAAGTTATATAAATATTGAAAAGAGAAAAAGTGCTGGTCATAGTACAGAAGATGCTTGGAATTTAACGTCTTTGGAATTAGTTAAAGCCGCAGATGTGAGTAATTCTTCTGGGTTTTATTATAATTTTTTAAACTAAGCCTATTGTTTAAGTATTTTATTTATAGGCTCACTGTAGAGCATTTGTCATAGAAAAAACATTATCGCAAATGCAATTAAAAATGAAGGGTTTGTCAGCTCCATTGTGCAAAGTTCTTATGCAACTTGTTGAGCTGTATGCTGTGGACTGGGCTTTGACTCACGTCGGGGACTTATTAAGGGTATTTATCACGCATTTCATGAATTGTTAATTTATTGGGATAATTTATGTAAATCTGTAACTTAGTATTGTCTATAATACATTAACAGTACACTAACGTTAAAGAGGCGAATATCCAGGATCTCCAAACGTGGATGGAAAGATTATTAACAGAACTACGTCCTAATGCAGTAGGTATAGTTGACGGATTTGATATTTGCGATGAAATTTTAGCATCAGCTTTAGGAGCTTACGACGGTCAAGTTTACAAGAGACTGTTCGAGGAAGCAATGAAAAGTCCACTTAACGCCGAACCTGTAAATAAATCATTCCATCAGTATTTGAAGCCGTTTTTGCAATCCAATCTGTGAAAAGAAAATATTCTACATTTTTCTAGATAAAGTGGAATGAATTGAAAATATTAAGGAGTGCACGTGTTTTGTTTTGCGAAATGCTATATTATCTGTCCATTTATACACAAGTATTCAGAGATTAAAAAATCAATTACTTAAATCTTATTTTGAATGCCACATATTTATTACAAAGGGCTTCAACTATAAATTTATTTTAGATATATACTTATCAGGATATACCTGATAATTATGTCTCTTTTCTGAGCATATAATGATGCATTCACAAAACAATTTTGAACAAAATTAGAAAAATGATATAAAATGTAAATGACCTATTCCTAAATCATTGACTTCATATTATTTACGCCTCCATTTTTTTCCAGCGTGTTTTATTTATAGTAATATGATTTGCTGAGGAATTTTATCTTAAGGAGACATTTGATAATGTAATTAGATAGTGTTTAGTATCAATTTTTGGTGATTTTATATGTGTATATTAAATTGAGGATATATTGCAGTAATTAAAACAAACATTAAAAATTTAAAGTAAGATGGACAGTAAGTAACCTAAATAGTCATAAAACAAATTATGTTTAAGCAAATATCATTTTAGAAAGGCTTGCATTGGTGGAGGCATAATCATGAATGCAGTTTGGCTATGAAGTATTTTAGTGTTAAGGATTTCTTTTGACATCATTTCGTAAGGTGACCATATTTTACATTTTAAGATTATATATATATATATATATATATATATATACAGTGGTGTTGTCGAGCCGGAACGCGCCGGCACGTCTTTCCGGCAAATCATTTCTGAGCTGCAAAAAAAAAATTTTTAATCGCTACTTATAGAAAATAATTTAATAAGTGAATTTTATAAATTATAATTCAACTAATTTTTATTAAATGTTACTATTATTATAATAAACATACATATATGTGCAAAAAATGGGTTTTGTAATAATTTTTGTTTCTTTCCTTTTCGAACGGAACCGGAATAAACATGAGAACTTTTTATGAACCGGTTTTTAAATTTTAGCGTTCTCCGGCAAAAAAATATTAGTACAACACCACTATATATATATATATATATATATATATATATATATATAATTTAAATATATAATAAAAGTAAGTTTTTTTTGTCGGATGAATCAATTTTTTTAATCAGAATTACTGAGTGCAAATTATGGAATTTAACTTTAACTTTGAATAAAATTCTGCACAATTATCTGTAGTAGCGATATTACTCGCTTTCGATTTGTCGATTTTAAATCACATAATTCGATATGCATAGTTTTTTGCATGAATTCTGTAAAAGTAATTCTAGTAGAAATATATTTAAAATGAAAGAGAAAATAAGAACCCCTTCGAAAATTAGTGACAATCTGGAACAAACTATATTGCTTCTAGAAGTTTCCAGGATGTAATGTGGAAATACGAGATTGTCTGAAAAAATCTGAGTCATATGGTTACCTTACTTACATTACTTTTCGGCATAAAACTAAGGAAAAATTATTAATTTTCTTCCATTCTTTATTTGATAGTGGACGAAAGATAGTATTGCAAAATTTATGATATAAAAACTTGAGGGGTATTTAAAAATTAAAAATTTTCAATGACTTGGTATAATCAAGGTTTTGGTCAGAGAAAATGAAACAGCATTATATATAATAAAATTTTTTATTGATAAGAAATGATATTGTCACTAATGGATTGGCAAATAAATCAGGCTATATTTTAAAATTGTAACTAATAATACATACACTTACCCCCGTTTTACACGGTACTCGTTTTACATGTTTTCGATCTTACACGGTTTTTGAAAATAATCCTTTTTAACTGAATTCATTAATTTCGCATTTACACGAAATTATAAATACTAAACTATAATTTGCTTATATATGCAATAACATTTTAATTGCTTTACTGTCAAAATATAACATTACAAAATGTATGTTACAGTTACGAATTTTAAGTAGTGTATGTTTATGATGGAAATATTTTGATGAAATGGGAACTCAATGTTTTATGATCCAAACTAAATTTCGTATGTGTATAAGCTAGTTTGTTTGAAATATTAAAACAATAAGCATCATTGTTTTTAAACGTTGTTTTTAATTAGTGTTTGTATATAATTGATAGCGTAAATTTATTCAAGGTGAGCAAATAACAGAATCATTTTTTACAAAAAAAAAATATAGTTCGGCAATGGCAAAAGATGAAAATAAAAACTATAAAATAAAAGAAAGGTTGTAACTGTAAAAAACAATTTTAATTTTCATCTATAAAGAAAATGCAATATTGAAAATAGTTTTTTTTATTTGTTTTATTATTGAAATAAATTAATTTTCTTAATTTATTCAATATTTAATGTATTTGTTATTAATCATATTAAAAACTGACAAGAAGGGCTTTTTCATAGTGATTTTTGTTTAGCACGGTTTTTTCATATAAAAGTGGATTTTTTGTGTTACACGTTTTATTTCTGGAACGTATCTACCGTGTAAAATGGGGAAAGGTGTATATAGACCAATCAAATTATATAAAAATATATATTAACAATTCAATTTTAAATGGAATTTAATTATCTTCAAATTGATATATGAGTATTATTATCAGTTTTAATAATTTTAAATGAACTTAAAATACTCATTATTTTAAATTAATTAGGAACGTATTTTTTCACAAAAACGCTCATTTAGGCTAATATTAATAAAAACAATACATTTTGGTAATTTATATGAATTTATATGAAATTAAAAGTTGTTCCTAATAAGGGCGCAAAATGCTTTTAAAATCTTTGCTGGAAATATATTTAATAAAATATATTCTATACTGGATTCTATTTATTTATTTATCTGATCAACTTTAATTTTGGTAAAAAATCAGCTATGATTATCTATGGATAACTAAGAAAATTATGCATAACTTTATTTTTGCATATTCGTTTCCGATGAATATTTTCTTCTTAAGTTAATAAACATGCACAATGATACAGTTCGGGAAAAACCATCGCAATCATCTTAATCCTTTAGCGACTTTTACCTTTCTACTATGTTCGTGTTCTTGTTCTATCCATGAATATTCTTGTAGTTGTATTTTTATTTTAATAGTAATTTGTTATAACAAAACTTTTATTTTCAGCATTTACATTTTATAAGGTGACCATATTTTTTAAGTCAAAACCGTTACGACAACTTGTAGTTGCACTAATCCGGCACGGGAGGAGCGGTAACTAATTTGCTAATTTTCGTAAAAACGAAAATGAAAAACCGTAATTTACAATGTGAGATGCTATTTTAACACTTTGGGATTTTACATTCGGAAATTTTCCCATTCATAGCTTAATGTTTCATATAAGCATACTCGTTGCCTACATAATTTTCAGATATTTGATGGCTATTTGTAATTTTATTATCAATGATAATTGCGAGAATTCAGTTTTAACCTATAGTTTTTAGGGACGAAAGAACGAAACCCGTGACGTGACAAAAGCACAAAATCCAGGTCAAATATTGCGTTTAGGAAAACTCGGAACACAAGATGGAAATCTGGGATTTACCGATCCCGCCTTTTCCAAGATTTCATTGAAAACAACATCAACTGCAAGATTCCTCGAAAAAGTGAAAATGATATGAATAGCGATATCAACAAATTTACAAATTCTCTTATTGCAGCATCTAAAACATCAACTCCTATTCTAAATCATTCTCACATTTTCTCTATAGTCTATAAATATTAAAAATTCATAAATATTTAAAAAAAAATGTGATTTTAGATGATTTTTCTAGATCAGGATCTTTCAGGAAATAGTGAGACAAATTATTCCCTTTGAAAAGCGACCAAAATATTAAAAACACCATAATTGTATCTTACCACCATTAAGAAAAGCGAACACGAGAAAAAATTGAAGCATTCTCTTAAAACCTGGGCCTCAACTTATTAAGTTAAAAGATGTTTGCCAGATACTATATATCTCTTAATAAAAATTTTTCTACTGCATCGCCGCGGCGATTCAAATATCACTGAAATAATCAATATCAATAATCAATCGGGAGAGTCCGCATTTGTCGTCGGCAATCTTCGCTCATACATGTGACGTCACATACCCATCTATGTTTGAGCACTTATTTTGCGCTCAACTATCAGTCCATGTAAGGTCTATGGTATAAGTCTTTAAGGTCACCTGCGTAGAAAGGGCGACTCGCGCTTGAAAATATTTATTATCTTTCGATGTAACAAAGACTACAACGAATTGTAAATAGAATTTGTACCCGAGAAAATCAGAAAAAATATTATTTTTTTTAAATCGATTCAAGTTGGGGGAAGGAAGGGTAGGTAAAATTTTTGTAAACATTTAAGGGTTGTTATTGTAAGAAAATTGCAAAAGCAAATAAAAATCTTAATGATTATAAAGTTCAATATGAGTAACATAAAATACAAATAATACTGATCTGATCACAACAGTATAAATTGAGCAAATCATCCATATTTCAATCATACATATTTTCATAAAAAAAAATTTTTTTTCAGCAATATCCTGAATTATGTGTCAAATGATTTTATGTATAATACTTGTAAAAAAAAATACAGACAATTCTAAAATGTGACATTTTATTTTTCCCAATTAAGCTCGTAAAGCGGGGTAGCACTGTTTAATTATTTGAAATACTGTAAGATTCAAACCTCACATAATAAGACAATGATAATAAAATATAAGTAATTAATTTATATTTCAATTAACTAAACAAACAAATAATCTAATTTAACAACAAATATTAAAACATTATAATACCAAATATAGGTAGAATATATATACCGATTCCCCTAAATAAATAATATAAATAATTTTGCAAAAATTCTAAAATACAATACTTATCATGTATAATTTTGCTATTAAAATGAAAATTCGTTAAATAATGTGTTTCTTTTTTAAATTATATAAAAAGCTTTTCATAATAAATTTTGATCAGAACCAATCTATTTTCTATGCTATAAAATAACCATAAGAAAATGAGGTCAGTAAATTTAAATTGTTTAAATAATATAGTTATACAGCTTCTATATAATTATAAAAGAAAGTTAATTTCTTGTTTAACAAATAAGTCATATTTACAAAATTGTATATTATCAATAATATAAAATTTTTAAGTTAAACACAAAGCACTTTTTGAGTATGTAAATGGAATGTGTTTGTAGTAAAATGCCTAAATTTAATTATAATGATAAATTAGGTGATGTGAACACTAATTAATCTTAATTTCACCTTGTGTGGCTGAAAAAGTTGAACTTGTAGGTGTCATTGGAGTTGGTGCTAATTGCCGAGGTTCAAAACTAACTTCTTGATTATTGCTACAAGATGAATCTGCTAATGGTAAAGGTTTAGCCACACCTATTTTTACTACACCTTTCGGAGCTCCCTTTAAAGCTTGAACAGCTTGGTCTAATGATGCATTCTCTAGTATTATATCATTTACAAATAGTAATCTGAAATTGAATTAATTTCACAATAAATAAAGGGGAGAATGACTATAAACAGATGCATGAAGATAAATTATACTTAAAAAATAATCAGTATTATATGATTTCCAATTTGCTTAAACGAGATATACACATTCATTAAGATGAAAAGATGCACCTGTTTCCTCAGAGCAACGATAAATTTTACTGATTTTATGTATGTTGAAACAACCTATATTAGCAAATTCCAACCTGTCTCCTGGAATTAGTCGACCGTCTAACTGGGCTACACCTCCAGGCACTAGGCTACGAATTACAATAACAGTATCATTCGGATCAATAGGGTCTTGATAGTCCAGAATTGAAAAGCCAAGTCCACGTTCGCCTTTGATTAATTCAATTATTTGCGGTTCAGAACTCCACATTGCAAGACCTGTTAACGGTTCTAAAGACCTAGACTTCATTTTAGTAAAATCGCCGCCACCGGTGCTGCCTGTGGTTGCAAGACTGCCATCAGATTTTGCTAAAATTGTTTATTCATTAAGACTCCACACTTCAAGTCATTAAGCATTATTAAATTTTGTTGCCAATGTTGCATTAAAAGTGATCAAAATAATAATAAATAATAAGGATTTTAGTTTTCACCTTTTACTAATCTATCCGTAGTTGGCATGAGATTCTGCAGAGAACCACCCAATTTACCACGAGGTGGCGATGGTGACATATACACATCAGATGAACATATTGGACCTCGACCACAAACCATTCTTACTCCTATAGGCAGCTCTTTCAATATGGATACCACTTCTATATGATTCATGCCAAGTAGTCGATACCCATTAACCTCTACAAAACAGAAAAAAAAGCATTTTATCACCTATGACAAATTACATTGTTCATTGATCTATAAAAATAATTCTTTCAAATAATGTTAAAACTTAATTTAATTCAGAGAAATATTATAGTGTAGATCAAACCTAGCAGTTCATCACCAGATCTCAGTGCTCCATGTCTTCCTACAGGACCTTCTGGTAATATGGAACGTATATAATGATGAGGTCGAACTTCCTTACCATCTTCAACATCTACAGTGCCTTCAAGACTGATGCCAAGCCCTCCGCTTGCACCAAATTTCCTAAGCTGCGCAACCACTATTTCTGTTTCCTCGCCTACAAAACAGAAAATTTAACCAATTCACATTGTTTTATTTTTTTTCTATATAACAAATACTTCAGAAGTAAATATTTCTATGAATAAAACTAAGTTTCACAATTATCTGATTTTCATACCAACAATATTATTCCATTTAGCCTTGATTACTTCTTCCATGGCAGGTGTTAATTCACTTTCAAACTGATTGCTATTTCTTAACAGAACTAAGTCAATATTTTTATTTTCACATAAATTATCATCAACAGAAGTTTCTACAACAAATTCCGTATTTAATAAAGAATCGTTGAACTTAGCATTTCTATCCAGTGACATGGACATGTTTTGAGCTGGTGCTAGAGTTACTCCAACTTGGTTTTTTAAAGTCTTAGATTTTTCATTTCTATCATTAGGTAGTGTGAACGAATGCAAATCATTTTTGATCCTATCACTATTTAATAAATGTGCTGGATTTAAAATCATATCAGACTTTAGTGGCACTTCATGCGATGAATGTTCACTGTGCACAGAATGGTTTGAACTTTTTCTCAGAGCATGTGATGAAATCAAATTATCTTTACTATAGCATTTATCATTTTGTATGGATACTACAGACTCCTTTCGTTTACGGTCATCAGATATTAAAGTACCACAATCTTTAAGCTTTTCATTAATTATTGGTTTGCTGTTACTCACATCATTTTGAATTATTGCAAATCTTGATATGTTTGGGTTTCTTACTTCTTCAATATTTGAATTATTTCGAGATGAAACTGGCACATGAGGTGGCGTGATGGGCGTTGAAGGCTTAAGTTCATTAGCAGCAATAGCTTGTTGCAATTGCTCATATTTAGGCCCTCTTAAATACCTAGAACAAACATTAATATATATATATATATATATATATATATATATATAATACACATAAATATAATACTGGTTCTGAGGGTCACCACTTCAAAAAACCATAGAAAGTGCCAGCAAAATTTTCAATAGTGTTCTTTCCATATTGCCTTATACATATATTCATATGTAAGTCACAAAATTACCTTTCTAAACATAATCTAACAATAGTTCCACTACTTTTCAGAACATCTACTGCCTGATGATTTGAATATCCTTGCAGTGATTGGCCATCCACTTCAACAATTCTGTCATTTACTTGAATTCTGCCAGATAAATCAGCAGCGCTACCTGATGATACACTTTTAACAAATATTCCAGATAATTCTTCTTTTTCACAAACGTAACCTTTAAAAAAAAATGCGAAAATCGATATCTTGCATAAATATTTAAAATATCACTAAATGTTACCCGCAATTGTGATTCCGAGCCCATTAAGGTCTTTTTTCAATTCAACAGAAAATTTCTCCATTTCTGGTAAATCTAGGTTTATCCTACTAGCAGCTGTAATAAGCAATAATTATATATATATATATATATATATATATATATATATATATATATATATATATATGATCCTGAATTTCATGCTAACATATGTATTAAAGTCTAAGCGGGGTTTACTGTATATATAACATATACATATATATATATATATATATATATATATATATATATATATATATATCGATTAAAAAGAATATTGTTTATGAAAATTACCTAACGGTAATGTGTGACCATCTGCATTGTATATAAATGAATTTGGATGCGAATCAGCAATAGGTGATGGAGAATTAGAACTTGAATCATTTCTAAAAATTTCTGGATAGCCAGCTGCTATTAAGTGCGCATCTAATTCTATTGGATCTGCTAGTAATCTATTACAAAAAATTTAAACAGTAGCATTTTTTATATGTATTTACATATATACACTAATTAAATACTATATATGTATGTATAATATACAACTCACCTAGTGGGAACAACTGGAGCACTACTATGCCTCTCTACTGGATCTATTGGCCTTGCCACAACTAAACGCACATGCGTGCCACTTTGTCTTAGAACAGCTGCTACATGCTCTGATTGCATTCGATGAAGATTAACATTGCCAATTTGTAAAATGTGATCTCCACTTTGAAGTCGTCCATCACGGTCTGCTACACCTCCTGGTAATATTGTTTTTACAATAACACCAGAAGTACGAGCTCCTATTATCCCTGCAGTAAAATATGAATGAAATATTACATATAAACTGAAACAATTGTGCAATATGGTCAAAAATATTTACCAAAGCCAAGTCCTGTTCCATCATTTACAAGATCGATAGCTTCGACTTGAGCCCATTCAGTTCCTAAAATCATATCAGAAACTATTCCTGGTTTGGTTGGAGAAACGCCACTGACAATAGATGAGCAGCGATCATCTTCACTACCAGTTCTGGCAACCACCAACTCAACCAATCCTTTGGCCTTTTGCAAAATATTTATCGCCTGCAAGATTATATTCAATGGGCTTAATTGCAATTTAAGTGAAAAAATAAAATATGACTAAGATAAACTAAAAAAGTTTACAATTTCAGCAATACAACATTAACAATAGTCATAAAATTTTATGACTAATGCGAAACAAATGAAAATTTAACTCTTCGATTTAATACAGTTTGCACTTCACATAATTTTATTTTAACTATAATAAAATCTTATTAATTAAACAACTTATTATTACCACTTACTTGTTGATGGGAAATATTACAATCTATAGTTTGACCATCAATTGCCAATATTTGATCTCCTTCATGTAATGTTAATGTTTCCCCTGACTGACCCCCAACGATGCTATAACCTAAACTCTGAGGGCTACCTGGACTTAATTGTGCAGAGGGTACTCTTTGTTCATCAGTGTACTCATTATCATATAAATCAAGAGAAGGGGGCACCGTCAGAATTAGATCACCTTTATTCAAATTAAAAACAATAGTTTATATAACACGAAATCAGATATTATGAAACAAAAATGGACATTTATTGCAATCATGAATAAACATTAGCAATGAGTATGTTCACCTCTAAATGTTTAATTAAACTATTAAAAGTCACAGTTAATAATAACAAACTGATTTTATTATTAAGTTCTGGTCTGCTTATTATATATTTCAATTTTTATACATATATATATATATATATATATATATATATATATATATATAGAAAAAGTATTATTTTAAATAATGACTAACACTTGAAACAAGTTGCAATTCAATTTGATTTTGCATTGATAAAAAATCAGTAAGCATTTTCAACTTAAACAAATAAATTATATGTTTAACTAGTGCAAGAAAAATAAGTGACAAGTGCAAGGATAAAATATACTGAATCCGTGCAGAAAAGAGTTACAAGTTTCCGAGTATAAAAGAAACAATATATAGTAACAAGCATGAGTGTTAATTGGTTAATATGACAGTTATTTATGGCATTTTTGCTTGTGTGTTTTAAACTCAAGGATGAAGTTTTCACAATTATTAATCTTCACTCCATAAAAACACAAATAGCTTGTAAAAAAATAAAGTTGATACCTGAAGTAGTTATATCAAAATCTCCTGGTAATATTGATGGATGTTGTGTTATTTGGGAATTCAATTCACCTAGTGAATCTTGAGTAGTAACAATGCTTCGAAAAACTGGATCTTGCAATAGGCTTATTATCATATCCAAATCTTCATTAGTACTGAGCTGAAGTTTTGGATCATGGGAGTCATCTATTGCTGTCTTGATGCTCTCAAGTTGCTGAAGTGCACTAGATATGTCAGCGCTCAGATGCATCTAATAAAAGTTAATCGTCTAAGTAATACATGAATAGAAAAAAAAATAACTTAAAACTTCCAAATTAACAAATGACAGCTACACGTTAAATATCGTTGAGGTTACAAGCTTTCTTTTACAATAATATTTATTATGATTACCATTATTATTATGCGCTAGCCTTTAAAATAAAACTAATTTATCACAAGAAAACAAACATTAAAGCTAAAATTTTAGCAACGTCAAAATAAAAACAAACATAAGCTTCACTGCACACAGTTTTTGTAATGTTGCAAATGTCGACACAATCAAAAACTTAAAATTACATAATTTGACAGATAGTTTAAATAAAATATATTGGCAACACTGCGTAAGCAATACTTTTATCAGGGGAGTATAATAGAGTAATAATAATAACATATATCTTGCGATGAGACCACAACTTCAATAATGTAATCAAATATCCATATATTAACATAGTGTTAACAACTAAATGCGGTATAAAAGGAGAAGTTTGAGCACAACAGCTCATAGGACCGAAGATCTGATTACAAAATGAGAATTTAAATATATTACAAATATAGGCAATACAAACCTAGTCTCAAAACGTTTGTAAATTTATTTATAAATAAATAGTGTAGTATTATTATATTGTCTAGGGTATACTTATATATATATATATATATATATATATATATATATATATATATATATGTAAATAGTGGGGTGTATGGCATCGTGACTTAAGGCAAATTGCTGGAACTTCCCGTACCGTGATGAAATGTTCAGGGAATACTGAATGTTTTCAAATAGATTATTATAAATATTGTAACATTGTCTAATATTTATAAGAATTATATAAACTGAATTGCAAAGTTAAAATTATTTGTTTAAAGTATATTAGAACTTTAGTCAGAATTAAAAATAAAATCTGAATTATTTTCGATATACAAAAAAAACAAAAATTTTTTTTTCAAAATCAATTATTTTGTTAAAACAAGCTGAAAGTTCTTTGAATCAATTAAATTGGACGCTTAGTTCTCTCAAAAACTGCCATTTTTCCACATTTAGCTCTGTATTTTCGAAATGGCTATGCCTGCCATTGCCAAAAACTAATAATCCCTTCTCCCAAAGATTACTAATTGAATGTTTTTAGATCATTTAAATCAAATGCTCCGTTCACTCAAAAACTCGATTTCTATTTTCTGCATTCTTTGCTCCGTATCTCTGTAACGGCTGGAGCTGCCTTCGCCAAAAACTAATCAGCACATCTCCCTATCAATAGAAATCGAATGTTTTTTGAACCATTCAAATCGGTTGATCCGTGCGCCCGAAAACGTGAACGAAAAATTGTATCCATACATACATACACACACACATCCATTTTTTCTGAGGTATGCCAAAATGTTCAGAAACCTTCAAAACGTAAGAAATGTAAAAATTTTCAATTTCGATTACAATGACTTATCTTACGGGAAGTTAATACTATAAAAAATTACGAAATGACTGAACATTTTATCCTACACAACCTCACAAGTGACTTCGGGAAACCATTAATTCTTAATACAGAATCTAAACACAATAAAAATTAATTATATACAGTTTTCAAAATGAAATAAATGAAGATAACGAATTTTTTTAAAAAAAACGTCTGCAATGCTATTACAAGCTGTGCTTTACAACTTAGCAATATCGTACAGAAAACAATTAACGTATTTTTATCAATTTTATTTCTGTCGACAATATTCTTATTCTATAATAAATTGAGAAAATTTCATTTCGTCTGCATCTATGCTTTAAACCGAGTTTTGACAATGACGATATAGATCTATTATAGGCCAGACAGACCGCAGTGCCTGTCAATATATAATATCGTATAAATACTAGTCACCATAGTCACATCGTGGATGAGTTTAGCACATGGCTTCTATTGTAAGATTGCAATGTGTCGTTCAGGTTCAGTGTCGTGTTTAAGAAATTAATTAAATTACGTTTCGGTGCGTGCGGTTTTTCTCAATAATTATATTTTGCTGTGATTTGTATAATTTGTGAATACAATATATGTATTACCATATGTGAATTGAGAGAAATTGCCACATTCACTTATTTCGTCAACGCCATTTTGCTATTAATTGGAAAAGTTTGGAATAATATATTCCTTGTTCTTAGAGGTATTTTGCTTATATTAAATAACCAAAATGTCTAATGAGGAGACATCCGCTGATCGTAATGTTGAAATTTGGAAAATTAAGAAACTCATTAAAAGTCTTGAAATGGCACGAGGGTGAGTCATATAAGTCAAGTAAAATACCTATATATATATATTTAATTATCATGATTTATACGCAGTATTTCGTTTTTTTTTTAATTAGGCATAATCTAGAGTTATTCAAACACTCGTTACTCGTATTCGACATTCTATTCTGATTTCCAACTTTCAATGCATTGCAGGAATGGAACGAGTATGATATCATTTTGCTTATATTAAATAACCAAAATGTCTAATGAGGAGACATCCGCTGATCGTAATGTTGAAATTTGGAAAATTAAGAAACTCATTAAAAGTCTTGAAATGGCACGAGGGTGAGTCATATAAGTCAAGTAAAATACCTATATATATATATTTAATTATCATGATTTATACGCAGTATTTCGTTTTTTTTTTTAATTAGGCATAATCTAGAGTTATTCAAACTCGTTACTCGTATTCGACATTCTATTCTGATTTCCAACTTTCAATGCATTGCAGGAATGGAACGAGTATGATATCCCTAATAATTCCTCCTAAAGATCAAATATCGCGAGTTAGTAAAATGTTAGCTGATGAGTTTGGAACTGCCTCAAATATTAAATCAAGAGTGAATCGATTATCTGTTTTAGGTGCTATCACTTCTGTTCAGCAAAGGCTGAAATTGTATACTAAAGGTAAAACAATGTTGTAACATAAGATAATTAGTTTTAGACATTAATTCTGTTACATATACTTGTATCTGTACTGATTGATTTTGTGACTAAATTCTAGTTTAGAATGAGGAAACATATAAAATTATTGTATGTATTTGGACAACATAAGCAGGGTTAATTAATAATGTGCTATTTGCTATGCCAATTTTTTTTTTTCAAATTTAATTCCGACATTATCAATTTTTATCATCTTATTTGATAAACTAATTGGGAGGGCTTCAAATCTATTTGTATAGGCATATGAACACACAATATATATATATATATATATATATATATATATATATATATATATATATATAGCTGTTTTATCTGCTTAACCCAACTTATTGAGCTTTCCCAAACTTGTAGTTGCCTGTTGTAGTTGTTAGATTATTTATTGATTGATGTAATAATCAATACTTTCTCTTGTAGTTCCCCCAAATGGTTTGGTCATTTATTGTGGAACAATAGTTACTGAAGAAGGCAAAGAAAAGAAAGTGAATATAGATTTTGAGCCATTTAAACCCATTAATACTTCGTTATACTTATGTGATAACAAATTCCACACTGAAGCGCTAACAGCTCTCTTGGCAGATGACAACAAATTTGGGTTTATAGTTATGGATGGTAATGGTGCCCTTTTTGGAACATTGCAAGGAAATACTAGAGAAGTTTTGCATAAATTTACAGGTGAACTGCAAAATTGTCTTTTTAGTGCTGATATATTATTTGTTTTGTTTGTAATTGATTTTGAAATTTCAATTTCATTCCGTAATTTAAATATGCTGCAAAATTTGTAACTAGTTTTTTGTTGGCATTATGTTACAAAATTTGTTTGCTTAAGCATCTTTTCATCCTACTTTTGTATATAATCTAATGATAATTAAGTTTGCTCTATTTTGCCTTTAATAAATTGTTCTTGTTATATGGACCTATTTGTCTCAAACTCATGCCTGGCTTTCATTTAATTTCTTTGTTTTCTCTGAAACTATAGTTCTCAACACGCTTGTATATTAATATATGAATATTATGATATTGAAAAATATAACATCAAACATAACAGGAAAAGTTTCTAAAGAACCTTTATTTTTTTATCATATTTCATCATTTTTACATATTAACATATAATGTCATTAGTAGAAAAAAATTTACATACATATTTGGTAGATTATTTAGAATGAGCCTGATATATTGACCGACCGCTTATATTGACATAGTCATACTTTGAAGTTTGGTTTTTATATAAATTTTTTTTATTTAATTAATTTTCGTAATATAGTTCGATAGTTGCTCTTTTGATGCATATTATGTGTTGGGATATAGTTTATTTGGTTTAGACTGCATAAATAAATGACATAAAATTAATTTATTAATAATTGTTGTAACTTATATATATATACATATATATATATATATATATATATATATATATATATATTAAAAATTTTACAGTGGATCTTCCAAAAAAACATGGTAGAGGAGGTCAGTCTGCGTTGCGTTTTGCTCGTCTTCGTATGGAAAAGCGACATAACTATGTCAGAAAAGTTATCATCATATAAAAAAAAATATTATAAGATTTTGCATTTTGCAGAGATTACAAGCTAAGATTATCAAATTGGTTGATGTTTCCTATGGTGGAGAGAATGGATTTAATCAAGCTATTGAACTAGCAGCAGAATCTTTACAAAATGTAAAATTCATTCAGGAAAAAAAACTTATTGGAAGGTGATGAAACATGTGATAACAAATAATTTTTTATTTCTTTTGTATATGAAATGATCAAAATATATGGACTCACAATTTTAGATATATTTTATTTATGATCTTTTCAGGTACTTTGATGAAATATCTCAAGACACAGGGAAATATTGCTTTGGTGTAGAGGATACATTGAGGGCACTTGAACTTGGATCTGTAGAAACGTTAATTTGTTGGGAAAATTTAGATATCCAAAGGTCTGTTAATATAACCATAAAAAAATATTTTTTATTTCAATCCAAGTTTGTATCCTGCACTAATTTTGTCTTTATTTGGTGAATAATTTGGTTGATGAAAGTAATTTGGAGTAACACTTAGTTTACTGATAACTTCAGCTATAAGTATGTGAAAAATCATTTCAAGAAAATAAGTTCTTTTATACTTGTAATGTACATGTTAAATTTAAATAAGAACTTGCCTTCAGTTTGGTGAATTTATTTCACTAAGTGACGATACATATTTATATGTGATATTAACTACTTGATTTATAGATATGTCCTTAAAAATCACACAAGTGCAGTGGAGACGGTCTTAAGTTCTTTTATACTTGTAATGTACATGTTAAATTTAAATAAGAACTTGCCTTCAGTTTGGTGAATTTATTTCACTAAGTGACGATACATATTTATATGTGATATTAACTACTTGATTTATAGATATGTCCTTAAAAATCACACAAGTGCAGTGGAGACGGTCTTGCACTTAACGCCAGAACAAGAGAAAGATAAAAGCCATTTTACAGATAAAGATGTGGGTATTATTTTATTATATTTAGTTACATTATATACTCTTATATTACTATTTATAGCATAAAAAATATATTTTCAGAGTGGTGTAGAATTGGAATTAGTGGATTCTCAACCGTTACTTGAGTGGCTTGCCAATAATTACAAAAGTTTTGGTGCGACTTTAGAAATTATTACTGATAAATCACAGGAGGGTAGTCAATTTGTTCCGGGTTTTGGTGGAATTGGAGGTAAATTTTTATTAAGCTTGATGTAAATAACTTACATATAACTATATATTAATACTTGACCAATGGTAAAAATTGGTCTTTTGAACATTTCAAATGTGAATTGTTAGGATGATATTTGCTCTTGTTAGTAATAACACATACTGATAAGGCTTTTGTAATTTACTAATTAGTATACAAATTCTATGAGGAATCTTTCAGAAGTATAGCTAACTTTGATCATTAAGAAAGAAAGAATGGCAAATTGTGATGTTTTCTACCTAAAATATACAGAAAAATATATGGTTTAATGGTTGTCATATTGCTATTATTTATTAAGAGTAAATAGTAGCTTTCCCACATTTTAATATTAATATATAATAATAATACATAATTTTTAAAAACAAACATTTTATTAGGTCCCGTAATATAATTTTATTTTCTATGAAAATGATATAAAGTCAATATTTGATTTTTTGTAACATATTGCATTCACAGTAAAATTAATAGAAACTTTGACTTTATTTGAATGTTGTTCTTGTTTTTCTTAATAGTTGATAAAATTTATACCGATAGTTCATGGCGATGGTTGGGTTCTAGGGAAAAGATTTGCTCTTTGTTTTGTATTATTTTTAAAATAGCTAAAAAGAAATAGCTAGTAACTTTTTATCTATAAAAGTGTTAATGTCTTTCATACAGATAAATTTCACAAAGTTCGATGTGTGTGATTGTATCTCTTGTATTTGTTTGTATAAACAAAACCATACAATTCGGTTCTTATTCAACTTAAACATTAAATTAATCTTTGTGAGGAATATATATATATATATATATATATATATATATGGTTATATTACGAGTTTATATTTAGTTATAGTACAAATATCGAAGAATTTTTTTTCAGTTCAACTGATTTGCTTTAAATAATTGCATTGCATGGTTTTAATTATTGACATTTTTTAGAACTACAAATGTTCTTAATATTGAAGTTATTACATCAAATGTGTAAAATGAGCAAATCTTTGAATAGGAATTCTTCGCTACAAAGTTGATTTCCAATCACTACAGGCTGATGAACCACTTGATGATGTTGATTTGGATGATTACTAATTTTCTGCTGATCTAATATTATCAATGACCAAGTAATATGTCTATATAAATATATATGTATGTACATATATATTTATATAAGCATATTATATCCAAGGTATCTTGATGTTGTAGTGAATTATGCTTGAAGTTGCTAAATGTGCTTTTTAACAAGTTTTAATAAGTTTTTTAGTTTTTATTGCATCAATCTGGAAACAATGATGCATGAAGTTATTTCGTAAATTAGATTTTAGTTGTTAGATGCAATTTTTGTTATGCTTTTGTATTGAACTTTTCTAACAATCATGTTTGTTTAGTTAGATTATGGTGTGACTCACTTATGCCTGGTAGTGAGAATCATCCTAAAACTCATCTCACTGATATGAGTTTAAGGGTTTAAATTTATTGAAAACATCTAGTTTGAATATAAATGTGATATAACTGAACTGCAATATCAGGTTCAATTTTTAAAAAAAATTAAGCCTGCTCTTGAAGAAAAATAATTTTAATCCTTAATTATATAATTGTTAAATCATTCTTATTGCATAAAGAGTGGGCTGATATTTAAAATTTCGTCATATTGGAGATAAAAAATTTGTAGCTTAGGTTTTTGTTGTAGATCTTATTTTTGTTAGAATGTGTTCATTTTCATGGTTAAAATGTAATAGGACCAGTTATTGGCAATAGCATATGCCATAATAGTTGTTTTTCTATGTATACTTTTACGAACTTTAGTTTTATGTGGGTTTGATGATGAAAACATATTTCGAAAATTAGAAATTGTGTGGCATAGGCCAAACTTGAAAACGAATGAGTGAAGGTTACTTGATAGATTAATTAACAGACGTTAATTGATTTTACCTTTGATGTGAATAAAGCTATAGCTTACTTTTTAATATATATTCCATATCTATATTGAAATCTATATATATTATTAATCTCATCCTTTTTACCAGATTCTCTGCTTATAATGATGTACAGATGTTTATATGTGTGGACTTTTATTCGGGTCTCAGCTAGATTGCATAGATGCGATTAAACTTTGACTGCAAATTTAACATAAGATTGCATTGACATTGTTCTATCTAACAAAGATTCAGTGCAATACATTTCAGAAATAGCTAAACGTTGTTTATAAATTGTTATTATCATTGCATATATTTCAAAATTTATCAAACTTATCTTTATTCACAATCAAAAACCTGGTTCAATAATTATTTATTTTGAAATTTGAATACATCAAAGCCATGCTAATAATTCTGAACATCGGGTGCAATACTGTCCAGTCATTAGGTATCAATGAAATATAGTATAGGAAATACTTCTACATACGTCAAACTTCCATATTTTGCTTGGGTATGTCAAGCTCAATAACAATACCAACTTGTATCTCCGGTTTCCTCTTGAATCTTGTCCCCACAGAAACTGCCATTGGGCACTGCTTTATTAAGGTAGAAAATAGCTACTGCTTTAGAGTTGGTTTGTTGTTTCTATTAAACTTGACTTGAAATTGAAGAATACTGTGAGATGTTTCATTACCATTTTGCATAGCCGTACCCAAAAGAGACAATTTCAATTGGAAACATAGTATGAATCTATATTTTGTGTATTATATTTCATGCAGTAGCTCTAGTATCTCATTTTACCTAGTAACCCTGCTATTTTTAGTGATTATAGGGTATTATGCTTAACAATTGCACCACGACACCCTGCACACACACACACACACACATGTATGTATATATATGTGTGTATATATATATATATGTGTGTGTATATATATATATAATAATATACAATGTGTGTGTGTGTGTGTGTGTGTTTGTGTACATGTTTAGTTTTTGTAGAATATGCATATTCAACTGTTCTACCGAATACTTACCTACAAAATATTAAATATGATTTTTATTTACTACTTGTCCAATTTATTTCAGGTTGTTTGCGCTATAAAGTAGATTTCCAGAGCATGCAACTTGATGATTTGGATATGAATGATGCCTATGACTTGGATGATTACTGATTCTATATGGAGATATTGCAAGATTCCTTTTTTATACAAATATCTTTAAATTAGAGACATTGCTATGATTAGATTAAATTAAGTTGACGGAGTTATATCGCAATTCTTTTTAAAGTTGACATAGACAATTGCTTTTGCAATTGCAACTATGTATAGTGAAGTTCGTGGTTGCAATTTGTTTTAGAATTATGAATGTCAGTATTGTATGAAGTTGTTCTGTAAATTTCTTATTTATGATTCAGTGATTCAACATACTGAGTAAAATATAATTTGAAATCACTCCACCTTCAGAAATGATTTCATTAAAGTAACAGAATATATTGCTGTAATAAATTTATGTAAATAATGTCTATCATTGTTAATATTATATAGTAAATGGTAACTTCGGAACATAAGTTCTTTTTTTATTATGTACATATATCCATAATTATATGAAATACTCTTGTGAAACTGTTGGCTTTTCAATGCTTTGCTATTGGTAGATATCACACACACATTATTTATATATATATATATATATATATATATATATATATATATTATATTTATATAATCCATTCATTTATAATTATTTATATTTTAATTCATTTATTTATAATTTGTTCTTGACAGATAAAGTTAAAACGTACATAGTTCCGGGACATTAACAATAAATAATTAAAAAAAAACTGTTTTTATTACCTTCTTTATTTCTTGTTTGAAGCTCAACTCCACACACACACAGATATATATGTATATTATATATATATATATATATATATATATATATATATATATTGAAGAGTTATTTTGAATCGGGCAGTAACACCAAGTAAAAAAAAAACTAAAGCAGTAAAAAAGCTTTGCTTAACTTCTTCGTCTTCGTCGAGACCGTCATTCAGTGGAACAACTACAAGATTTGGAACTAATGTAGAAGGAAAACGATATAAAATTATAGAACTTATAGATAAATACAGAGAATTATTTACACAAAAACACAGTAATAAACCAAGCCATTAATAATTGGAACATTTAGAACTATATAATTTGTTGACAATTTTTTTGTTACATTCTAGTATGTAGAGTTATTGGCGCCTAAATACTGAATGAATTGTGTTACAAAAATCTTTTGCATCTAACAAAGATAAAAATATCACAAACCAATTAAAGGTAAATTAAAGTGTATTTTTTTACCCGCTGACCACACTCTATCCTATATTTAAATTATTTTTTATATCAATATTTACTTTTTAAGTAAACAGTATCTGTATATAAGTGTCTAGTCTTAAAAATGTCTTAAAAAAATTTAAAGAGTGTTGATCAACCAAAGGTGATCAACTCGCAATGAAAATTAAAAATAAAGCTCTTAATAAAAAATAAAACTTTTTCATTAACTTTGAAAAATTTGAATCCAAATTAAGTGAAGGACGTTCACAAAAACACGATCTCAATTGACTAGTTACAGATCAGGTTAAAAATGATTAATCAAATTAGAAAGTGTGGTAGGAAAGTAAAAATTGAGAGCTTTTTATTTTTTTTTTAAATCTTATTATTTTATTTTCAATAGCAATCAGAATACAGGACAATTCTATGAGCTTATGTCATTCATGTGTGTCAGAAGAAGCTAAGTGGCTATAGAGTTTGTTTGATGTTCTAGTTTATTAAAATTGGGGGCGGGGGGTGTTGATTTGTATAACTCTGTTTATAAATTTAATAAGAAGATCGTCGTGTAAGGTCTTATTGCTTACGAACCATGGAGCATCAGTATAATCTGTCTTAATATTTTCGATTGGGCAAGTTGCATTAGCACTATGTTGGATTTGCTCCACAGCCCCAATATTGTATGCCATAAGTCCATATTGGTTTTATTACTACCTTGTCAATTTAGAAGTTTATTTATGGATAGAATTGACTAGAATTGGCGTCCCAGAAGCCAGTATAGTTCAGCGGTTCGAATTTTGCGCGTATGTGGTCCTTCCACGTCAATCTGCGATCTATATTGCTTGGCCACTCCTGGGCATGTTGGCTTGTTCAGTGTAAACGTTATGGTTAGACTTGCTCTCATTTATTTTTATTCTCCATATATTTTTCAAGCAAGCTTTAAAAAAAATAAGAAGATCCAATACATTAAAAATAAGTGTTTGAGTTGGACAACTCTTGATAAAATTATTTTTTTCAGTGTAAAATTAAGCTTTTTCATAAGCTCAAAAAATCTTAATCAAATTTCAGTTGAAAACGTTCACTTACAGAGAAATGAAGATGAAAAATTATATAATTACTATAATAATTCTTACGAAATAGGGGTTTGTGGTAAGCAGGCAAAAATTTAAAGTTATATGTTTTTCAAGTACGCATTATAACAAAATAAAAATTGGCCCAAAAATAAAAAAAGTACTCCGGCATGGCCAACCCTTACCACTTGGTTTCCCAAATCATAATGAGTGATCCTAAATGCAGTACTGCTTTAAATAAAATGATGACTCTTAGATTCCACCCTTACTATACTGTGAAATTCAAATCAGCCACGTAAAACGATCACCACGTATTTCGAAATATGTTCAATCAAATGGTATATTAAAAATTATACACTACAATTTATAGAACAAATTCATTTCCAATAGCTTAATTTATAAATTACACTTAAATAACACTTAACTTCGGAAGCTTATAGTTGGGAGGTTCTATGCATTCATTTTAAAGTGCGGTGCTCTGGCACCAAGCGATTACCATTTATTTCTGTCCATGGCAAATAGTTTTGCTGATGACAAACTTGCTTCAAGAGAAGCTTGTAAAAATCGACTTTCTCACATATGGACGAGAGTTTCTATGAGAGAGGCACAATCATATCACCTTCAAAATAGCAATTATGAAGTGCAAAAAATGGGAGGTAAGAACTAGGGAGGGCGATAGTAAGACAAAAAATCTCTCTCCCAACCAATTTTATGACATTATTGACAAAGAAAAGGATATATGATGCACCATAAAATAAAAAAAAAAGTAAAGATATCTTATAAATGTATATGACTGATGTACGTGTATACATGAACAACAAATAAATAATAAAAAAAAAGATTTTTGAAAAATTTTAGATTTTTTTTATATTGAAGTAAAAAATAGATGCATGATGCACGTGATATCTTACTACACCTCACCCTTCCCCCAAGTTATATTTTTTGTCAAATTTATTCGTAGAAATCCATAAAACAGTTTGTATTTGGCATTAAACATAAATGAACGTTGCAATTAGAGCATTTACATCCGGGCTCTTTACAACGTCCTCCCTTATCCGAAAAAAAATTGCCGATGTGCCGTTTCATCTTTTTTCATGCTTTTGCAGATAACGTTGTATTTGACTAATTTAACTTCCCGAAAAGTAGGTCATGTTTTCCCAAAAAATCCGATTTACTATATATTTCATGTTTTCTCGGCGTTTAAGTCATTCTGAATCGAATGAGAGTCTCATTGAGACTAAATCTGGGAAAAGTTTGTATGTTTGTGAGTCAATGTTTGTCTTTCGTCGAAGTTTTATCACACAATCTTGAATTGATTTTAAGAATTACAGAAAGATATTGGTTAGGAATCACGTTAAATAGTTTTTAGTAAAGATCGGCCGGGCTGTTTCTTTGTAATTAAATGTTTAATTTTTGACAATTCTGATGAAACTTTGTATAACAATAAGTTTCGTAGTCTGAAATAACATACTAAAATATTATAGGCCTACGATAAACGGTTGAATTATAAAAAACATCAAACTTTTGAATTTCGCCACGCGTTTATTCAAGCGATTCTAAGCAGATTCAATGCCGAAGCGCAGAAGCATATATGTACATTTCTGTGGTGTTTCGTAAGTAGCTTGTACTTACAGTTTACGCCCGCACTCAAATAATATCCGAAATGGATGAAATGAAATGTAATATTAAATTAATTTAATTTATATTATTACAGATATTATACGTATGTTTCCAAAATATCACTTGAAAATCGTTTTTAATGAAAGCAAAATCTTTATTCTCAAAATAAACGTTTGAACATTTCATCTAAACACATAGTTAATTCTAATTCTAGCTGATAAACTCGATTATTTACACGTATCGGGAAGATCATGCAACTTGCCTAAAGCAAAATGCTTCTTACTTACTTATTAACTTCCCGTAGTGTTATAGTAAATATCCAAAAATCGAAAATATTTTTTAACTTCCCGTAGGGTAAGTTATTAGTAATCGCAAAAAAATCGAAAATGAAAATTTTTATATATCTTTACGTTTCAGAGGTTTCTGAATATTTTGGCATACCTTAGAAAAAATGGATGTATGTGTGTGTGTGTGTGCGTGTATGTATGTGTGTGCGGATACAAATTTTCGTCGACGATTTCGGGAACACGGATGAAGCGATTTGAATAATTCAAAAAATATTCGATTCGTATTGATAAGGAGACGTGCTGATTAGTTTTTGGCGGAGGCAGGTCTAGCCGTTCCGAAGATATGGGGCAAAAAGTGCCAAAATCGGTACCTCAGTTTTTAAGAGAACGGAGCGTCCGATTTTTATAATTCAAAAAGGTAGGTCTAGCGGTTTCGGAGATATAACGAAAAAAGTAAAAAAATGCCATTTGGCGGTCAAAAATGATCATTAGATATATGCACATCAAATTATCAGATATTTTATAGAGATTTTAACAATAAGTATATTTTTTTTACATTCAGAGATTTTAGACAGCGACGCGGCGCTTATGCGCTTTATATTTTGTTTCTATGCAGTTAAAGCAGTACGATTGCTTTGAAAAAAAGTTCAGATCTTCCAAAATATGTCAAAATCAAGAAAACATTTTTTTAAAAAAAAAATATATTTTTTTTTTCAAAAAAAGTAATTTTTTGACCAATTTATAGTTTCTTAAAAATCTTATTTTTTCGAAGTAATCTTTTTTAAAAATGTTAATCGTTAATAAATTTTTGGTACGGAAAGTTCCAGCAATTTGCATTAAGGCACGATGCCTTAATTGCTTTAAGACAGAATTCCACTTACAGCTAGTTTTGCATATCTTTAAGTTTCAGAGATTTTGAATATATTGACATACCTTAAAAAATGGATGCGTGTGGATACCATTTTTCATCCACGACTTTGTTTTCGTGAGTTCGGGCGCATGGGAAACGTTTTTGGCAAAGACAGACCCGTCTTTTTTAGCTTTCTTTTTTTTTAAATATAGAAATAATTTGGATTTAAATTTTAATTCTAGCAAAAATTCTAGCTGACTTTACTTGGAATAAATATTTTTAACTTTGCTATTCAGTTTATATGATTAATAAAAATAAGGGATAATGTCTTTAATTTTAACTCCGCTCGATTAAGTTTTGTTTATTTACTTTTTATGTAAAGATATATAAACGTCGTCGTACAATTTATTAGCTTTTTTATATTTTGTCCATAACATACGAATAATGAAAGCTACAGTATACTTATAATAATCTATTTGAAAACATTTAAAATTCTTCAAATATTTCGATACGGTAGAGAAAGTTCTAGCAATTTGCCATGCACCCCAGTTTTTAGAACATATATTTGCAATTGTTTACATACCTCATTTGAAGTTCCTCCTCGAAGCCCTGAAGACGTCCTCTTAAGGGCTTCTAGGTGTTTCTGAGATAGACAAGTAGCAATGTTAGTTTTAAATGTCAATAAACCATTTTTTAAATTAAATATTTATATTTAGTTAATTATAATTTATTTATTTGATATTTAAAAATACTTATAAATTGGCTAAACAAAATATATTTACGTTTTACGTATACGTATAATAAAAATACTTTACGAAAGCTACAGAATTTAGACAATTATTATTGTATAGTGGTCCAGTAGTTTTGAAATCTCATGTCATATTTCAAATGACTTTTATAAAATTTTTCTTACTTTACATATTGCTATTGAAATTTTATGTAGCAACACGTTATTAAATGATCTTTTAGAATCTAAAATTTAGATTATGCTCAGCAGCTACTTCATCATTTTGTTGAAAGATTTAAGGTTTTATATGGAGATCATTATGTAAGTCATAATATACATAACATTTTACACTTAGCTAATGACACCAGAAGTTTTGGTACACTTGATTCATTTAGTGCCTTTAAATTTGAGAATTACATGCAGGTCTTGAAAAAATACATACGGAAGTCAGAGAAACCATTGCAGCAAAGTTATAAAAGATACTTTGAGGTGAAAGAACTTTTTATGGGAAAACATGTAAGGCCTGTAGCCATGCCTAGAGCTTGTGAGATGTCTATGCATTTCGAAGGACCTTTGATAGAATATTGTGGTAAACCTCAGTATAAGGTTGTATATTGTTCAGATTTTGCACTCAATATTAATAAAAAGGCTGATTCATTACGGCACCAAGTTTTAATGAATAGGCTTAATAAGCAGTGATGCCAGTGTGATATGAAGGATGATTTGCCTCATTATACACTGGCAGTTTATAATAAATTTCCTGTTCGGACAGAGGCAGAACTGCTAGATGTGGAGCAGCTATTGACAGATGTGAGAATAGCAGAGATATTGGTAAATATGATGTTACCCAATGGATAAAAGTGGACAAATCAATTACATATACTGCTAAATATACATATACTGTCATGCCCATGACAGATTTATTTGCAATTTTCCGTAAGTTGAAATATATTTCACATATTTCGAAAATGTCAACTAACATTTTTTATTAGATAAAATAAACCTGTAAAACTATAATAATTCAAAATTTGTTATTTTCAGTACTTTAGAAGGTGGTGAACCCAACGCGAATAATTAGTTTAAATTATATAAATAGTTATAATACTATATATAGAAAATAAGATAATAGGTTTTAGGATAATAATCACCAAAAATTTAGTTAAGTTAGTTTAGTTTAGTTATTTTCTAGTAATGTAAATGAAATTATTTTTAATAAATATATTACTTATGGAGTTGCAGTTTTAGCTCATTCGATATTTTTAACTATATGGATTATTTATATTTAATACAAATACGCACGGAAAGTATGCAACAATTGTTGCACTATATACCGTCATTATGACCCATCGCGATACCATTCCAGCCCCATAGCATACCCGTATTAAACCCGTCGGGTTGACCATGGGTCAAACCAGGGCTCTGACATATGTGTCGCCATGGGTTCACCTATGTTCATATATGGTACCAGTGGGTTGACCATAGGTTAACCCTACAGCCCATTGTGACGACCATAGGTTGACCCTATGTCAACCATGTGCTGTGTGGGTTGTTAATTTGTTAAATAATAATAATAATAATGTAAATAATGCAATGTAAAATATAAGCATATAAATTTTGTTAAACAAAATACCTAAATTGTATAAATATTATTAATTCGATAAAGAAATAATACTAATAATTCAAAAATATTTATTAATAAAACAACATACTTATATTTTAAAGATAATTAAAATTAACTAAAATTAATAGAAATAAAAAATATAATAAATGAAGTAAATAATAAATTAATCAAATTATATAAAAAAATATATATTGACTGAGCCGTGTTATACTGGCGACTTTTACAATAAATAAAAATAAATACTGACCGGGCCTGGCTGGGTGCTTACGGAACGGGTTAAAAAATCTCGACCGTAGGTAAGCGGTTAAGAGCGACGAGACTTGATTCAGAGGTCTCGGGTTCGATACGAACTTGGAGCAGCCTGTTTCAGGCAGCAGTGACAACTATTTTCATTTGAAAATATAGATAGTAATATGTTTCCAAGTGAAAATACCCCTCACCCGGCATTGCTGCATCAATAAAATATTCGTCCTATTACAGAAATTGTAATATTAATATATCGTACAGGATGTGTACAGGGATGTGACAACTGATTGGGTTGCCATCTGTCAAACAGACTAACGAGACTAACATTAAGTCAAACTTAGCACAACAGCTTATAAAAAATATATAAAAGCCAAGCATTGATTCCTGTTAAATCACTTGTTTATCTATGGGTGAATCATAATGCGATGGTATCATTTTCTTGATCGAATATCTGTTAGAAACAATGCAATCAACAATTCATTCAAATCTACTCCCCCCATGTCTTGGTAGTATGGTCGCATGGTCATATGGTTGTAGTCAGTCAGTATTAATTGTCTAATGGCTCGCTCCATTGCACGAATCCGTACGGCGAATTTGTTCGCAATGTGCGCAGACTAAATTATTGCAAGCAAAAGCGGACCTCGCGCATGTCAAAAACAGGATTCGCCGTGCGCGTTCGTGCAGCGGAGCAAGCCAATAAGGAATAAGCTACTTGTCAGTTGTCAGTCCTATGTTTACACTATATTCGTTCAGTCGTTTGTTCGTTGTGCATTGATCATTCTGTTATTCTGTTTATTACGTTGCCTACCTCTGGTCCATAGATAAAACATAATGGAATAGTGTCATTGCGATTAGCTGCGAGATGCAATAAAAAAATGGTGACCAACTTGCACATATGTATATTCACCATTGACCTTATACAATTTCATTTGTATTGTATAAGGCAAAGGTCTATGATATTCACTTATGATACCACCTCACTGTGATGCTTATATTATTTATCTATGGTGCTGACTGCAGATGGCTAGACTGGAAAACACATTTCCTCTTAATTTTGATTCCATTATTCTATGTGTGACAGTCGTTTAACGCACTATAACAGAATTTGTAAACATTAAATTATATGTAATCTTCTTTGATTGTGAATAAAGTAAATTACAACACTGAACTGAATATATAATTCAATCTGAATGCAAAGCTGTTTAATTTTACTATATCATTATTAGTTTTAGCTATTTCTGACACAAAATAACCGTAAAATAGCGAGAACTTATGTTTACTAAAATCGAATTAAAATCTTTCATGCAGTAATTGTGTAATCCCTATACGCGATTTTTTACAAGACGGACGATTTATGTTACAAATATAATGAATTATACAAAAAGAACTAAAAATCCCGATGCGATCGACCAATGGTTAGAATCGCACGGGTATTATCGAAAGCACACAGCTCGCGACTCCACTTGTTTATTCAGGGTGTTTTCTGAGCAGGTATTGATATCATGTTTTGAGTCGAATGGTTTATTATGTACTTATGTATTTTGACAATGTATTATTATTTGTTTTAGCTATTTCTAACACAAAAATACCATAAATTAGTGAGAGCCGAGTGTGTAAAATACATGAAAGATAACGCTAGTTTGTTTGAAAATGTAAGTTTTTTAAATTTTGTATGCTACTTATTTATAGACTTTATGATTTTTAGGATATTGACGGATCTCTAGAAGTATACCTTGAAGCGATGTCTGAAATAAATGAATTTGGGGGTTTGCTAGAAATTGCTGCAATGAGCAGATTATATCAGTAATATTATGAACTGTATTCATTTGATAAATTACTTTCATCATTTTTTGGGTATATATATATATATTTTTTTTCAGATGTGAAGTATTTATATTTGAAAAAACAACTGAGCCGCTCAATGTTACTAATAACGGTTTTTCTAAAAGAGTACTAATGTTCCACGCTGATAAGCACTATGACTCTGTGTTCCATAAAACATACATACAAAATGCTGCTTTTTGCCAATGTACGTGTTAGCTATGCAATTTACATGTATATATATATATATATATATATATATATATATATATCTTGAAATGTTAATTTGCAGCCATTTGTCGAAGTAAAAGAACAATAAATAATGTCATTATTTATTGTTCTTTTACTTCGACGAACAGCTGCAAATTAACATTTAAAGAATATGTCTCAACATCAATCAAAAAAATCTCAAGCTTATATATATCATTATGCAATTTATTATCATTCTTTTATCATTAAAGCTCTGGTATATCAAACTTTATATAAGTTTGTTTTTAAATTACCTGATGTGGATTTTGCTGTAAATAAAATGCTTCATGAATCTTCTGGTGTTGGTGATATGAAATCTGAAATTCTGCAACAAGTCAATGAAGATAATCAAACTCGATGCACAGCTATCAATAATGAAATGTTAGTATATATCGTAAATTACTTCTAAAGATTCTAAAATTTAATCAAATTATGTTTTGCATGCAGATCTCAATGTGAAATGGAAGCAGATCCATTCAGCACATTATGTGTTCTAGAAGACATTTCCAAATGCATGTTTCATTATCATGCTCTAAATAACACTGCTTTCAGTAAAAAAGCATATATGAATTGTGATAATCAAGAACCAAATTCAGCTGAAATTTTTCAACAAATTGATACTAAATGCTCTAAAACATGTTTCACCTCAAATAATTATGGTAGTGAAATAATAAGCAATGAAAATAGTTCTTTAGAAATTCAAGAAGCAAATTATAATACAAATGAAACCTGTTACGCTTCTATGATACCAGAATTTGTAGCGAGGGTTTTAAATTTGACTGATTTTCATGCTACAGATTCATCTATTTCTTGTGTGAAGCAAATGCTAAAAGAAAATCTAACACCTTTTCCTTACAAAGTTGCAAAAGCTTTAGATTTAGATATATACAGGAATATTGAATTTGACACATGGAATGAGGTCAGAAGAGGTAATTTATTGCATATAGATTTATGATGATGCATATTATTTTGTTGATCAGAATCTGTAGTATATCAATATATATATATATATATATATATATATATATATATATGTATTATATAGTAGTGTAATTGTAGAAATGCGGTATGGCAATTGGTACAATGGTGGTACAAATTTACAAGTTGGTGTAAAATGTCTTGTAAAGCTGTCAGAATCTCAACTAACTTGGTAAGTGTATGAATAAACTAATTTTTTTAAGTTCATTTGTCTAGAATACATTTGAAGGTATCATTGTCATATACAAGAAATGTCGTCGAGTGGAGAACCATGTGTTGTTTTTATAGAAGAATTAGGCGAAAAAAGATCAGTACCTCGTGATTTTTTACAGCCACTGCCTTTGGAGCAGGTTAAACCCTGGGCTTTGCCTTATCGCCATTATAGAAATTTGGCTTCCACTATCCAAAATTCAAAATTGTTTTCATTTGCTGAGTATAGTGAGTATTCTTTTTTCATTTATTAGGCAATCTATTTTCTATCAAAAAATAGTTGTAACTATTCCTTGTAGATAAGATGAAGAAAAGTAGAATGGGTAAATCACGCAGGGTTAAGGACTCACATTTAAGTAATTCCAAGAATAATATTACTCAATATTTATTACATAAAAACGATAAAAATCAGGCAGATAACTCGTTGAATGTGCAAGACATCAATAAAATTGACACTGATTTTGATAAACTTAATAAGCTACAGGATTACCCATCTTTTCAATTTCGAGTAAGTATTTTGAATTTTCATTTATATAACATGTTATGATATAATTATTTTTTAGGAAAATGATTTGGTGTCTATGCCAGTTTCAGTAATTATAGATGACACTGGATCTGCTCTGAACTCAAATCCCCAACTTAATATAAACAAAGTTTCTAGTGAATCTTTTACGAGTGTAATGTTTAATAATGAAGTGCAAGCATCATATGTTAATCAATCATTTGCCTATTCATATCCCAATTCATATGTTTGGCCTGTAAATCAATCTGCTCCTACCTACATGCCTGATATCTCTAAATCTCAAGTTTGTGCCTTTGAATCTGAAACTCCATCTTTTCAAATGCAAGAAACTGCTAAACCTATGCAATATATGAACAGTACTGATAACGTCTCATCTGATTCTTTAAAACCGCAATATAACTTCCAAGAAAATTGTAGGATTGATGATTATACAACCGATGCTGTTAATTATTTAGCACCTAAAAGTACTTTATTCTCTGGTGCAGATTTGCCATTTAATGGTAATTTGATTTTAAATGTAAATTTATTGTTTTGAGTTTTTTATGAACTACTTCTTTCTTTCAGATACTGCAACATTAAGATTTTTTTATAACCTTGGTGTTGATTATTTTAATTCGACATGCATTATTAGGCACCCATTTAAAGAACTAGAAAATCGCGCAGACATAACTAATCCAAATGAAGAAAATGAAAATAGTTGCAAATCTACCATTGTTTATGAATACAGTAATCCAGATGAGCTATGCATGAAAGTTAACAATAAGTTATCTTCAGAACTGAATCTAAAACATTCAAACAACTTGTTAATTGAAAAACCTTATGGTATGTATCCAATTTACAATATTTATTTGATTTGAATCTTGAAAGTCATATAGTAAATCATTATTATCATAAGTAAATCATTTTATTTTTATAAATAATGTATGAATCCTACATTTCAATTTTTCATTTTTAAAAATGGTTCTAGGTAATTATATATTATAGGTAATTTTATAATAAACATTAATAGTTAATAAGTACAGTAGGCCCTCGCTTTACACGGCACTCTGGGTACACGGTTCCCATACTACACGGAGCTAAAAATCCGACATCCCTCCGACTACACGGACTTCTTATTACACGGTATTTAGTAAACAGCCCATAAGTTCGTTGTGCAAACGGGTATTGATGTAAATTTTGTTATCGACTGTTATCTTTTAGACATGATTGATTATATTATAGCTGCCTAAGAACACGTTTGAGCTGACTACTGTGTCGCGCCAATTTTTGAATAAGGTATCAATGTCCTACATGTCATTTCGTCCGTATTACTCCTACTTCAAGTTGTATTCTTTGGTCTCCATACAGCGCGATAAAAATGGTACGATTTGTACCAACTCTGAGTCTCTCATAACACGGTTCCCATACTGCACTATGTAAGGTTCCATAGAACGCACTACGAATTAGCCTGAATTGTATGTTAAATACGAGTTTCTTATAGCACGGTTCCCATACTGCACGGTACGCACTTGCCGCGTAAAGCGAGGGTTTACTGTATTTCAAATACCATAAATTTTAAATTAATGTGATATATGGTATTGCACATAAAACTAAGTGAACCAATAAAAGTTTTTGCTTATAATTATCAACATCAATTTTAAATTTATTTCAATTTATGTTAATATATTTTAGAAAAATAATCTAAATGCAAATATGTACATTTATATAATAGTAGCTGACCCAGCAAACACTGTTTTTCCAAACATAATGTTGCGTATGAAACTAATTCAGAATTGTCATTGCAAATACTAATCTAATCTAAAACAGTTTACATTTAAATTGAATTAATATAATTATAGGTGTAACAGAGGCTTGAAATTTGCGAAGGTGTTTTTTTTTCTGCAAATATGGATCTTTGTCTTTCAATTGAAGACGTTTAAAATGCTTCTGTAATGTTTTTATCTGTTTGTGAATAATTAATGATAAAAGCTACATGGTTATCTCAAAAACCAGTCACCATCACTTTTTAGGCAAAAAATAATCAGTTTTCTATGAAGGCAGTTTCCATTTTTGGTGTGTCCTTAACAGTGTTAACTAAGGTGACCATATCTTCTCAAGTCAAAACCGGGACCATAATTTTTAATTATGTTAATCCGGGCCTATACTTTTCGAAAATCTGAGACAAATTTTGCTAAAGATCTAAATCCGGGACAAATATTGCTTTTAGAAAAACCCGGGACACTCGGGGGAAATCCGGGACTGCCTTTGCCAAACTGGGACGTATGGTCACCTTACTATTAACATAATCTACTATGCATTAAAAATCTAAATTATAGAAATAGCAATAAAATAATGTCTTAAACTCATATATTATATTGACATGAAAAATTATTGATAGAGTCAAGAATAAGTGAATGAATGAAGAATGAATATGTATTTATGATACTATTGATATGTAAATATATTCAATTAAATAAATATTTTATTTGATATATTAATGAAATATTAACATGAATTTGATATAATAATGATATATTAATGTGATTGAAATATTTCATTAAATAGTAAGATGAGTATATGTTTATTTTAAGGTATGTATAGCACAATGGTGCCTTTTTATCCAGTGGAAGAAGGTAGAAACTTATATGTTGCGCATTATATGGGTATGCCTTTTGGTGTAGTCTCTCCAAGCTTTGAAGGCCAGATAGAAACTGTAGTGGATCAGAACTTGAATGACGCAAATTTTTCTCGTCCCATTATCTATCAATCAAATCAAGTTCCGCTATTTACTGAGCCTTCTTCACCAGGATATTACCGAAATCAAGTATGGTATCCAGCACCTCAGTCTTCTTACTCTGCTCAAGTTCTTCCATCTAGTCCATAGTTATTTCATGAAATTTGAAACATGAAAGCTCTATATATTTTATAAAGGTATAGATAAGTTAATGATTATCAATCATATAGTTACTTCACGTTTTATTTCTTGATAATAAGAATTATGTTATTTTGTGTGGGAAGTCGCAATTTGTGTTGTTTAAATTTATAATTTGATTATCTAGAAAAAAATATCTTATTTTTCATTAAGAAATCAATTTTTACAGTTTTAAGAAATATAGTTTTGTTTATTTACTATTATATCAATGCTTCTCATCGAATTAAAAATAATTATATTGTGATATTACTGACATAATGATGTTGATTCAATCTAGTTATTATATGCTGGAAGCATAATATGAATGAATATGTACTTAATTTGTTAAAAATAAACATTTAACAATACTTTTTGGTTTTTTATACAGAATTATTTTATAATTAAAAATTAGTAGTTATTTTGTTACGTATTGTCAGTATATAATGCATTTTATGAACATTAATAAAACCTGTATAAATGTTGAGTATTGTATTTGTTTGCTTGTACGTATGTTAGCCGAATTTTAAATTTTCGTCAACAATTTCTCAACCCCGCTACTTGATAAAGTAAACTCGTAAAACCACACTATAGTTAAGTTAAACAAATGAATGTGACTTATTTCACATTCACCAAATTTTTGTATTATGTACTTCAATTTAGTTTTATTATTGTGCGCAACATATTTATAGTTCCGGTAGTCTATAACAAATGATTTATTTGGATTACACATGTGATTGGATACCTATCAAAATTAGTAGTTTTTTCTCATGGTATGTGGTACAATAAATTTCAACTTGTTTTATTTAAGTTTTTATTCACTTTTATTTTATTCGAAATGTAAGTGAATTATTGCAATATATTGAGTTTCACATGTGAGCCAAAATTTTGAACATTCATCAGCGCTTTTCTGACGTGGGTCAAAAATTGGCCTTTCGTCGACGTTTTTTCAGAAACGACAGTAGCGATTTCTAAAACGTAAAAGCTATTCAATGAAACTTGATAAGCACTCGCACTGGTTAGAAATCGGCCGAGTCGTTTTTTTAGATTTAACAGACATTTTATTTGTGCACATTTTCGTTAAAAAAACTGAATCCATTTTGCAAATTCAAAAAAATATCATTTGGGAATTGTGTTGATTAGTTCCTGGCAAAGGTCGGTTCGGTTGTTTTTTGTAATTGATTGTCCGGTTGTTTTTTTTAACATATTAAACTTTTAGAGGTCTACGACAAGTGATTATTATAAAAGTTAATTAAAGTGCATTATTAAGATGGTATTAAGCAGGGGTCGGCAAGCTTTTAACTGTAGTGTGCCAAGCCACTCTACCAATATGATGAGTGCCGCCTTAATTTTGAAATATATAGTTAGGTGCTAGGGGAGAAGAATTATAACCAAATTTATCTTTTAAACATATTTATTAACAAATAACATAAATTTCTAATATAAACTAAACAACTTTAATGCAAACCTTGTGCCTGCACATTTTTCCTTAACATTTCAATATCCGGGGTAAAATTTGTAACTTAATTTCACACAAGATTCTGAATGTTTAGTTGTTAAACGATTTCTTTGTGAACTCATATGTTTCATGTGAGAAAAAAATTGTTCACAGAGATATGTGGAACCAAAAGCTGAAAGGAGAGCGCATACAATTTTCTTTAAACAATTAATTCTTTTCCGGCAATGTCATTCAACAATTTAATATGGCTGTCGATTTGTCCATAGAGTTATCTTCCAGATTTTTTTGTAATTCCTTCAATTTTGTTTTCCATAATTCTGAAGATATTAGTTCGATAATTTCCATTTCAAAGTTATCAACATTAATCCATTCGAAAATCAACAAATCAAACGGTATTATTGATGGATCTATTAAATCTGGTTTTATGAGGAAGGAATATATAGGCACATAAGCTTCAAAGTCTTTGCATCTTCTGGAACTTAAGTACGTAGGTTGAATTACATTAGCGAGCTACGTTAGAAAAATAATTATAATTAAACATTTTCTCTTATTTAAAAATCACTCGATATTTGCGATTTTCTTGATTACTTTATAGAGTGCCATTCAGAACCCCATCGCGTGCCAAGCCTGGCACGCGTGCCGTAGGTTGCCGATGCCTGGTATTAAGCATGTTTTCGTTTTTCAATAATGTAGTGTAATATTTAACCATTTGTCGAAAATGACTAACACGTTTAGACAATTTATATAAAATTGAATAATCTGCAATAGTTTCTTGTATTTTAAAGCTCTACAACAAAGTGGTTTATTATATTCAATATACTGTTTTCTTAAAGATTAAGTCGATTATTTACAGCAACACGCCACTAACACCTAGGGCCTTTTCATAGTTATTTCCAACGTAGTATTTTATACTTTTCATTTCACACGTAAAATATATCTTTTATACACTCTACTGATAATTTAAAAATTATCAATATCACGATCGACCCCCTTAAGAGGGGAGCCTGGTTTTGAGGTTTTAAAAATTCGCTTTCTTTGAGGAATTTTTAGGGAAGTAAATAAATATTTAATTGAAACGAAACTTTACGATTTTATTGTTATATATTTCAACATTCTTCTCAAATTTTTTCATTAAAATATATGTCATAATATGTCGGGCAGATGTTATTTGGCGAGAAAGATGCAGGTCACAGTTTTCATTCGAAACAAAAAAATGAAAACCAATATATATTTTCAATAGTATAGATTCTAGTTGAACCTAAAAATTTCAGAAAAAATAAAAAATTCACCAATTTTTCGCAGCTTGAAAAAAAATCATGTTTTTTGATACAGAATTTCACTTTAGATTGTTTAAAAAGTGGGTAATTATAACTTTTTTTAAAGTATTTTTAGGTTCAACTAGAATAGAAGTTAATCCTGAATACTATGAATTTTGTCTCGTTTCAATTTTTTCTTATCTTTCCCGCTAATTAGGAAGAATCGAAAAAAGTCAAAGCCGAGAAATCGCGCGTCGAAGTTTTCGTTCCGCCTGTATACATGCTTGACTTTTGCTCACTATTTCTTCTGTAATTCCGAAAATAATTCAAATATGTTTCTGAAATTTTTAGGAATATATTCTTAGCTAGTTTTGAAAGACATTTTTGCAATAAAAAAATCGATTTTTTTAAGCCTCTAAAGCAGGCTCCCCCCTTAACTTCCAATGATGAGCATAGCCCGCGTTCGATGGCTAGGCCAAACATAAATATTACGGGCATAGCCCGCGTACGATAATCGGGCCAGAAGCAAATATTACGAATTACGGGCATTTTCCGGTACGGTGATTGCAATTATTATAAAATATTTATTTATACGAAACTATAAAACACAAAATTATATTTATTTTTGTAAACTGTACACTGTGTGGAAAAATATATAATATTAAATATAATACACAAACGCTGCGTCAGCTCGAACAACTTTGGCCCGACATTTTCGAATCTAAATCGTAGGTTAGGGGGTTAACATAAAGTTGTTGAAGTCAAAAATGTTTATAACTTTGCGTGAAAATAGAAATAAATTTTGCATTTTGATATAGAAAAGATCAACCGATTAAAATTGAAATCAAAACGGTGTGAAGTGATTGGCTTTGGGAAAAGGCAGCTACAACGGTTTAAAGGACAAACTGAAGAAAGGCAATTTTCTTACTTAGTCAAAGATAATTGTACATATGGACAATTTTCCAATGTTTCATGGTTTTTCTTTGTAGAGCCAACGATCATATGATGTGGTAAGTGCTATTTTTTTCAAGAAATATATTTGTGTGCTAGATTTATATGACAGCACTTAAATGAAAAAATAAAAACATAAATTTCTAAATTGCATTTATACGGTGCACTAATAAAATTTTTAAAAGCAATCACTTACAACATAAATTTTCAAATTATATAATATATAATTAAATATATAATTAAAATAATAATATATAATTATAATATATATATATATATATATATATATATATATATATAATTAAATTATGTTGTGCATTAATCAATTTTATAATTTGATGTGATTATTTGATACTTTCGATGAAGATCGCCCGGTTTACAAGATGCAAGCTCAAGAAATTCAGGTTGGCCGAATATTCGAGAGCATTAGCTTCGATTTTCTTAATTTGAAGATAAACTTGGGGAGTAATGAAGTTTTAGATTATAAATCGATCCCTGAAATAACAATTAAATATCGAAATGCAGTAGATAGATCTACTGATGAACGGTGTTCCATAGCCAGGCCCGTTGGTAAAGCGAAGATGTGTATAGAAGTAACAGAAAACTCAAATAAACGAACAAATGGAACGCAGAGAACGCTTAACAAATTTTATTGCCCGAAACAACAAATCGATCATTTTAATTCAAGAACTGACGAAAGCCAAGAGATTCAGCTCAAAAAAACAAGCAAATTCAAACATTCTGTAAATTCTAATTCAATTGAAAACAATTTTGAAAACTGCTCACAAAGCAGCAGTAGGAACACATCTTCGGACGATGAACATTTTACCAAAAATTTGTATGAAGGTTACAGTCCACGAAAACCATTTGTATACATGAAAAAGGTAATTTTAGTAACTATTATAATTATTTTTAATTTTTATAATAACGTGATAGAATATAAATGATAGATTAACAATGTTGAACAATTACGATTAAAACTAGTTCAAAAGTTCCATTTGTTATTACCATAAAATTGCTGAATATATTCATTATAATTATGTTAGTCATGATAGTATTTCCGTTATAGTTAGTCATTGTGTATTTCCGCATGTTAATAGTTAAGATACTACAGGGTCCGGCACTCGAAGTGTAACCATTGAAAAAGCCATAAATTTAGTTTGGAAAATTAATTTTACTCGATTCAAAATACAAAATGTGTAAAAATAATTCAAAATTTAAAAACAATTCGCTTTTGCTCGATATGACCACCTTGTGCTTTGACTATGGCCTTTAGACGGTCCAAAAACAAATCGCATTTGGCCCGACGTGACTTGTAGGTATTTTGGCCCACTGGCGGACAAAATTAATGGCATTCATCCAAATAACTATAACATTATTATTTTTATTTGAGAATATTTGAATTTTCTGTTGAATAATCTGCTATTTGTCAAC